GTTAATTTTGAGTTCATTTTATACCTTTTACTTTCATCTTCAAACCTTGGACAAACTAAGGGTTGTTAAATTAAAGCTTCAGCTAACACAGGTAGACCCCACACATCAAATAAATTGTGTGCATTTTTATATAAAACTTAATGCAAAGTCTGCAAACAAGTATGAGAACTACTTCATCATGTTAGATAAAGCATTTGGGTAGAAAATAGCTGTGCTATGACCTTGACAAGTTTTGATCTTCTGCTTAAAATGTTGTAAAAAAATTAGCATCGACTGTGGGTCATCTAAAACGTTTGTGGTTTTCCAATGTTGCTTCCATGTGGTTGTGTTTGGCACTTCAAAACAAATACAGTAGGTGAAGAAACTGCAGGAATATTAGAAGTATGACTATTCACAGACCGAGGTACTGGGGGACATTGTAAATTACTCTACATAAGTCTGGAAGAAATAGTGTTTACAATCGTTTTGTGTGCCACATTTTCATTGAAGATGAAGCAAACCATTTCTTCAGCTAGTGTAACATTACTCAGCCGTGGCAGAAGGAAGACATGATGCAGCTACAGGGCTGTATGGACGGGAGGAGCAGAGCTGCAGGGGAGTCAGATGGAGAAGAGAGGTTAGAGCAGTCTGCTTCAGGGGGTCTGGAAGTGTGGAAGAGAGATGAGTGGACGACTGTTGTTCTCCTCGAGGTTAATGTTGTACTATCAGTTGTGCAACTGTCCACTCAGGGCTGCATACATTTCCAAATGTGCTGGAGGACAAAAGGGGAAAAAAGATAGGGTGGTCGAGAGGGAGATGGAGACGGGAGGGGGGAGGGATGAGAGTGATGTTGATAACGGAAGAAGAAAAGTGTAAACAGAGACCAAAAAAAAAAAAAAACCCTGGAAACCCTTCAAGAAAAAGCACGGTAAGAAGTGCCTGCAGGTTTTGCTTTGTTGTTTTAATTGCCTTTAAAGTTGATAGCAGGATTTATTTTAGCCTGTCCTGTCTTTGAATTACAGTAATGGCTGTAAAAAAACAAAAACAAATAAAAAAAGTGCTGAAATGCAGAAATAAACCCTAAAAAAAGATCAAACTGTGGAAGATTTTCAAAGTTTACAATGAAGTTTATTTTCTATTTCTGTTGAACTGGATCTATGTGTAGCTGTGTGCCTGGAACAATCAAAAAACTTTAAACCAATAAAGTAAAATACCACATCTTATTGGACACAGATTATTCCCAGTTTGTATTATACCCTTGAATACATCATAAACACTTATGTTCTTGTTGGTTCTTGTCGACAATCACAATGCAGATTGATGTCAGGCGTCATGTGTGGCCCCATTTTTCTGCTCTAAATAAACCGAAGGATAAATCCAGTCCCTCAAAAGAGCTGACCTTTTGATAAGCCCATCCCTCAAATTCATGGCAGCTCCAAGATGCTTTATTGCCACAACCTAGAAATGGCTCATGTTGACATAAGATCATTTACAAGCTTCTCCTCTCCCCAGAGACCCTCAAGGCTTCACATCTCTATATGAACGATCACCGACACAAGATCCTTGGAGGGCGCTAACTTCAGCCTCTGTCTCACCTCAGATTGTTTTGCTATTAAGAAAGATTGTTTTTAAACCTGATGTTTGTCTGTAGAGGAGTGTACGATAACACACATTTAACCTTTTTATTTTACATCATTATGTTAATAATTCACTTTTAAATAATAAAACAACTAGACAGCAAAATAAAATCTCACTTTTTGTTCAAATCATCCCTTTCAGTTCTCAGTTAAACCTCTTGTTGTTTTGATGATTTTCTGAGTGTTCTACCTTTTATAATGCTTTTGGGTCTAGTTTTCATATCAGCCATTTGCATGTTTCTACCACACTCACAAACACTCATTTTGTACTTGTATATTTTTTAAATACTCAAAACTTAATACTTTTAATCGACAAAAAAAACTAGACATAAAGTTCTCGTGAGGAACTTTTGCCATGTGTTGATTTTGGTGCCCCCTGTTGGGGGTATTTCTTACTAAAAGGATCTGGTGCTGTACATAAATAAGTAGTTTTATGATGAAAAATCATTTCTTCTGCGTTTTTAAACAATCAAATATCACTCAAAGATGTAAATAACGATGGAAGTGGTCACATTTGTAGCTCATAAAGATGCATAAATATAAAGTTTAACCTGTTTCAAGACCAGTTAAAAACTCCTGACAGTGCCATTACCTAAACTGTGTAGCTTCAAAACATTATTCCCTGCTTTTCCTGAATGTCATTTTCCTTGTGCCCTGTTTTATTTTTGCCTTGTCCTTGTTTCCCCTCTCTGGCATAAATTAACGGTTGAATGTAAGGTCACAACCTGTTACAGGTCAAAGCCTCCTAAATTAAAGGCTGTAGGTTTCTGGTGTCTGTGGTTTGAAGCAAACTAGCAGCAAAAGGACAGTGTGATAAAGAGGGAAGAGGATGGCCAAGTTGCTCATGTGTCCTCTGATCCTGGTTATCTGTCTCTGGCTTCTTGTGTGCCTGAGTGATCTGGGCTGGAACCATCACCAGCTCCCTCACTTTCACGTGAAGCGTGACTCTCACTGAGCTGAGAGCACACTGCCGAGATAAGGGCTGAGGTCCGGCCGACTGTGGCGATGGATCCAGCAAGGAAACATGTTGGACGGAGCCATCTGGCCAGCTCTTCTCTGTCCTCGCTCTGCTGAGCACAAAGCTGGAGCCAGCAGTCTTCTCTGCTGCACTTTTCAGCAGAAGTTGAGCTCAACCAGGATGGTATGACAAGATAAAGTGTTTGTGTTCAACACATGCATTTCACAGATTTAGGAGAACAACTCTTCCACAGAGGAGAGTTGTTGACGAGTCTGTTTTGCTCCCAAGAAATCATACATTGATTCAGATAAATGTTCTCTTTTTATAATAGCCTCAAACACTGATCACAATCCATGTTAAAGGATATGCTTCTTCTCTCTACATATCGTCTGAAACGTTTACAAGGTCTACCACAGAACCTTTCTGACAATACTCTTCCAGAGAATATTGGATTTTACCTGAATCTATCATCAAAGCATTTAGCCTGGCATTGGAAACATTAAACATCCATACACCACTTTGTTTTGAAGAATAACCTGCAGATGCAGAAAACTTCCCAAGAGCTTTTTCAGCCCGTATCTTTTACTTGAGATTATTTGTCAACATGTGAACACAATTTCTAGAGTAGTGCTTCCAAACCTTTTCTGATTGGAGCCCCCCCCCTTGTATCTAAGTATAGCTGAGCCCCCCAAGGATCCACCCACTACCCACTAGGTGTTTTATCATGATTTTTACAAACATATGCAAGTTTAATTCTGATGACCTCAAAGCACACACAGCATTCAGTAAGCTTGAACACATACTAATTCATGTAAAAAATGTATTAAATTACTCGTGCTTTCTGCTAAATAACTAGCTGAGTATATGTAACTTTCTCTAACGCCCTGAAGTTCAAACATCCTAAACCCCTGCTATAAATGCAATAAATCTAGTTAGCATTGAAGTCAAAAGCATAGAATGGAGGAGATACAGTTTTAGATTAAACAAAGCCAAACATATACTAACTCCATACAATAACTGGATAATATGACATTGGAAACAGTTTAAAGTTATTCATGATTTTCAAAATTCTCCAAGAATATGGATAAAAGAAACGGATAAAGAATTCAAATGCAAATCAGAAAAGTTATTCAGGGTCTAATACCAGGTTTATTAGTAATTGTTGTGTAAATAACTATAAACCAAATATAATAGATACAATGTTCCAAAAAGCTGTAAGTGTTGAAGAGTTGTATGGATACTGTGAGATAAAAATAAAAGACATTTCTGACATTGTAAACCAGCCATATTTCATTAATGAATGGACTAAAAACCTGACTTGGGACCTGTTTTAGAACTGTCCCTTTATCTGACCCTCCTTCCTAACATAATCTGACACAGCCAGCTGCTGAACCTCCACACCATTTTAAAGAAAAACACATTTGAGAGCCTATCCAGAGTGAGACTCACTAGGGAGAGTCTGACATCCATCCAGCCTGTCAGCGAAGGAACATTAGACATGAAGCCTGGAGAGAAAGACCAAAACCCAGTTGGATCTTGGACGGCTGATAAGTTACCTTACACTCAGTAGTCATTACACCGCCAGAATTAAATGATAAGATTCCAATTACCTGCTAATTTAAACCAGCGGTCAAATATGAGGACTAAAGGATGATGTAGCCTGCCGCTAAGGATTCAGCTTGTAATAGCTTTCTGCAGGTGAAAAAGTAAATGGAGAAAATCTTGGTGGTATTAAATAGGATGGTGTATATGACCTGGATCTTAGAATATCTCTGTAGATGTGTTGAAGTTAAAATGCGTTTTGCACATTCTCAATGACAAAAAACAGCATTTTGTGTCACACTTTTCTGTACCATTTGAGCAGAATAATTGAGAGGCCCTTTCAGTGTTCTAAACCGAGCATTAAGGGGGTCTTGTCCTCTAATTAATCCGGCTTGTCCCTCTGCTATAAACACTGGATCAGTTTGCAGGACTCCTGCATTATTCATCACGGCTGTGGGTGAAAGAGGAAGTCTGCGGTCTGGAGTCACCTTACTCCAGGCGAGGAGATGGAGAAGGATGGTAGGAAGAAATGAAAGTGATAGAAGAGACGTTGAAGATGGGGGAAGGTGAGATGATGAGAGAGCGAGAGAGGTTGGGTGGGAGGAGGAGAGGGGATGATGAAAAGGGGAAAGAAATAAAGAGAGAGATTAAAAAGAGAGTGCCAGATCAAATAGTCGATGTGGTTCAAGGCGAGGGGAGCTGCTAAAAGAACACATCCGTCTGAGAAACCGCACCAGGGTCAGAGGCTTATAGACAGGAAGTCCAACCCAGCTGTCAGTTCTCTGCTTCTGCTGACAAACCAATTATAAAAACCACACTGGATTTTCTCGCTGTGTTTGCATTTTTTGACAGAACATCCGATGATATGATGACAACCACACATCTCCTTTTTTTCCCCCCTTGTTCTTTTATTGTTATTCATTGGAATGAACCCCCATCCTGACCCCAAAATACATGTCTTCTCCATCTGTTTCTCATTAAATACACACCTTTCCCTCACAAATACAATGATCAAAAACACAGTAGTCATTTTCTGTCAGTTCATACGGAGACGCACAAGTGAAATCTACAGGACTTTCAGAGAGAATAAAAAGCTTTGGAATGGTTAAAGAACAATGCAATCACACAGTTGTGGCTGCTGTTAAACACTGCGGCTTAAATAAAAGAAGTGGATTTGAATATTGTGAAACAAACGTCATGAAATGTAATGGATTCATACATGCTTTAACAGATGTGTTTTACTCAGACTGTTGTTAAAATTTCTGGCAATAAAACTCACAAAATGTTCATTTACAGCACATTCACCTTGGTGGTTATGTAGTGGTTACTTACTGTACGTCTTTACTCTCGGCAAACATATAGTATATTATTCACAAAGTATTCACAGAACATAATATACATCTGTATGTACACAATCCTTCTACCCTCTAGAAAAAGTGTCCAGGCACTTCCTCCAGTGATCCTGAGTTAGATCACTGACTTCACTTCGGCTTCCTCATGACTTCATCCTCATCAGGAACGAGCTGCTCTATCAGTGAACCTGTGGGAGCCTTGCTGACTTCGGCATACTGTTAAAGATTCCTCTCATATTTCCCCACCTGAACCAGAGCGTGAGCTGCAAAACTAGCAGCAGAGTTCACCTAGCTGCCTCTTCTTAGAGTGAGTGGGCTTCAAGGTATCTCTCCTTGTTTATTAGGGCAGGTCCTGGAGAGACGCCCTCTTTCAAAACCTGCACTTTGAGGAGTGTCAGGAGACGCAGTGGAGAATAACAGGTTTTAAAGGTTAATCATGGTGTGTAGGAATATTATTTTCTAGTCTTTGAAGTAAAAACAAGTGAATTTGTGTGTCAAGTTTCTTTTCAGATGAGGGTTTAAATCGGACTCAGATCATTATGGGTATCACATATGCAGACCTGCTGGATTTGGGATTTTTGGGGGTTTTATTTGTCAGTGATTTTTAAACAATAGGTTCTGAGGGCAACTGTTTCTCACCAAACCTCCTTTTTCAAATACTTTTCTGTTTTAAGAGACTAAAGAGGATCACATGTGAGATCTTCACAGATATTCAGGGGTGAGCGGCGACTCAATGTAGCATGTTCTCCTCTACATAATGTTAATGCCCATTTTTTTTTAAACATACGTAAAATCCCTAAAGGGTTCAGACAACTTGTTCACCTTGTGTTGACACGTTTACAGTTCAACTAAATGCCTCGGACAATGAAAGGTTAAACGAAATGACGGACTCAAATCTGTGATGTAGCACTGGTGTAGACACTTCACCACAGCACTGATGGAACACACACCTATGGCAGCTCAGTATATTTCTATATCGGCTCTTTTCTTTTTCGTTCTCGCTTGGTAAACAATACAATCACTTCAGAGCGTGGGAAATACTGAATGTTTGCAGGCATATATCAAGAACAAAGCAATCAGAGGATTCAAATCAGTCAGTGGGATTGGCACTGTGACAGTAATGGAAAAGGAATCTCCAGTGGTGGCTCGGGGCCCCCGGAGCTGTGGTCCCTGGAATCGTCCACCTATAGCACACATGGTTATCCAGCACAGACATTATGGCAAAATACAACACATTTCACAACTGTACAGTTTCTGCATCGATACTGTTCAGGACTGCGCTTCGTCTTAATCCTACAGGTGGCATCTTAAAATTCCCCTGTTGCTGTTTTTACACCAGTAAAACCTTCTGGATGTATTCAGTGGTTTGAATAAATCTGTCCTAGCATCAAATATAAGGCAGTTTATGGTATGGTAGGTAAGTCATGCCACAACCACAGTATACTGCTGTTGTATGTAGCTCTTAAGAGTGAGGGGAACTCTTCCACCTTTTGATAATCCTGTTAAAAGTCTGGTCTTTCATCCAATTGCTTTCCTGTTGCCAAACGTGCCCCCTCCTCAGAATAGACAGGTCCACTTCGTAACCCGCAGTATTGTTTTGCTGCTACTGAAACCCTTAGCACAAAAGCGCTGAAGTCCAGAGGCAAAGAGGACCAACAAAAGCACAAAAAATATCCAAATAGATAAACATCACCGACATGGAGGAAATCACAGCTGTACATTAAAGGTTGCAGTTAAAACCAAGACCACGTTTTCTTTTTCCTCGCCTTCTTTTGCACTCCTTTCAATGCCGAGTCTGCAGGTCCAAACATTAAACTAGAGGGGTCACCGGGTGGCATCAAAATCGAATCTGCAGCGCGTGGAATACTGCCGCTCTGGTAAACATTTAGTTGCTATCTATCATCAAAGCAGTCCAAGTACTCCAGGACAAGGTCATAGCAGAATCGATACTGGTCCTGAAGAAAAGCACAAAAAAACCTTCAGTTAAGATGTGAAAACATGAGAATAATTACACAAACCACTTTAGAAAAAATAAATGCTCTATTGACTTCATATTTTCTAACTCTCTTACCAGAGACTCCACCATGTTGGGTTTGCAGTTGCGTAGAGTTTTGACAGCGTAGAAGATGTCCACCATGTTCTGGTACTGGATCATCTCTAGCAGAATGTTGCTGGCACAGAAGGAGCCGCTGCGACCGCCGCCATTACTGCACAGGAGTAGATACAGTCAACATAGATCGGTGCCTTCTCTTTTTTTATGGCATTAACAGCTAGTTTGTGTCTAATAACAATGTGTAAGAATGATCTTGCTTCCATAAGTCAGTTAAATATTAGACTTTCACTGTCAAAATGACACAAACCTAATCCAATAACATTGCATGGACAGTGCAGTATGTACAGCAAAGTTCAATATAAGCAAACATATCGCTGTCGCTAATGGGAATAAGCCTCCTAATGTGATTAAGAGGCTTCTGAGAAACAATAACATCACAGAAGCAGGACAGATTGTGTGAAATCTGATAACCTTCATTTCGTGCTCATGCTACCTCATGAAAAAACATCCATTTGATACAGTTCATACAGCATGTGCTCACAATACCCTAATACATAAATAACAAGAAAAAATAGGCAGCAAGGTGGAAGAAAATTGAGAAATAACAGCACAAACGTGGCGTTTCCTTAAAAAATATTTACTTGGTCGTCATAAATAAAAGGCAGCATCAATAAACAAGAGGAGGACAATCCAATACCCGCCTCCTGACACTGAGGCAGGGAAGGTGGGCATGGCAGCCTGGGCAGCGTATACAAGCAATATTAAGGTAATCAATCGTCGTCAGTGCTTTGGCAGTCCCGGATTTACTGTAGTGAGAACCATCGCATTCTGAATTAAGCCATAATTGATTTGATCTCCATAATCTCTTTCCCTGGTTGTCGTGGGTAACACTGTGTGACAGCGCTGAGTGATGTGCTTTTGGATGGGGGCGGTGGGGAGAAACGTGTGATGGGTTGGCAATGAGCTGGACGCCACATTCATATTCATTAGCGGGTAGGCGCATGGGGGGGGGGGCTCAGGACAACACAGGAGCCCACCACACCACAAACTGCACCTTACCACTGTATGATTTTCTATGGCAACATTAGAAAGAATACTTTGCACCAAAATCTCATTGCACCAAACCACACACGCACACACGCACACACAGAACAACAAACAAAAAGCTCTCCGTCATCAGACAAAAACAGAACTAAAACTTGTTTTTCTTTTGTTTGCTATAACATCACAGTGTTACAGGGTGTTATCTACATCTTGTCATATTTCATATTCTATCTTGGCTTTCAGTAATAGTCTGGTTATTTTATTGTTATTTGTCTCTGTTCTGTCGGGATGTTATTATTTTAGGAAATGTCTGGTCATTTCACGTCCTCTCACTATATGTCTCCACCTCTGCTCTGTGTTTATGCAACGAGCAATAAAGGCTTTAAAAACAAACAAAGGAGTCTCTGTCATAATTCATCAGACGTGGTCATGCTTCAGCATGTTCGAACAGACATCTTTGTGATTCTCCTTTCTGTGAATAAGCTTTTGGTGTTAATGCACTTTTAAATGTCACTCTTCACCGGCGCTAATTCGCCCCCTTTCAGACAGAGACTGTGTTTATTTCTGCCTTGTCTCCTTCTCTTCATTTACAGAACATGATGCATTTTGTAAACACATTACTCACAGGCAGTGGACCACAGTGCGTCCTTCTCCACATTCCCTCTGCCACTTGTGCACTTGCGCCAGCAGGTTGAGGAAAGCCTTCTTGGAATCTGGAACATCACGATACGCCGACCAACGCAGGAACTGGAACTGACACACCACCAGCTGGCCCTCTTGGAGCTTAAGATGCAACAGAAATAAACACATTGAATGTGTGTGTAACTGTACTGCTGTGTTACTTTTCCTGGTTGTTTCAGTATTTCTGCAAGTGCCAGTTAACACCCGGAGTTTGAGTGCTCCCCGAGCTGCGTGCTGGCACTCTCAGCTATGCTCGCTCAGCACACTGACTTTGAGATCTATGGGTTTGCAGGTGTAAGCACGGCCCGAGCTGTGTGTGAAAAAGGTCCCTGTGTGTTCATAACCTTGTCCTGTAGAATCTCACCCAATACTTAAGGAGCAGCAGAGAACTGTAAGTCATGCAAATTGGGCTGGCAGAGACACCAACGATGCATGGAGGAATTGCTTGAGAGGAGGGGGGATTTTCACAATGTTCTTTTTTTTTTTTTTTTTACAACTCTCTAACACACATATACACATGCTTACAGTGCACTTCTTCTGACTTTTACTCCCTTCCCTTGTATATCATTTTCACACACAGGAAGCATACACACTTAAGCACGGAGAGAGAGGCCCAGAGAGGGCGTGGTGTGTCTTATTTCTTTGTGATTTGATTTCTCCCATGCTGTGTCGAGGTGCCCTCTCCTTGACAGTGGTGTGCACCGAGTACAAAATAAGGTGACACAGGTAGAGAAGGGGAACCAGAAGGGCGATCGAAAAAAAAAGAAAAGGAGGTGAGGATGCCAATCAAGAGAGGAAGTTCTGGGCACTTCATGTCGCGATGGCAGCTGGGGAAATGCCTTGCATACAGATCCCTTTAATAATTGGTTGACAGTGAATCCGGAGCAGAGCATGCATGTGCTTATGCAAATTCCCAGGCTTCAACCAAATCTGCACACACACACACACACACACACACACACACACACACACACACACAACACTGATCAACACTGACTGAGGTGTTTAAGTGTGTGAAGTGAAAATAATTGTTTCATACATATGTACACAGCTGGAGAATAAACTTTAATAAAGACTACAAGGACATCCCCTGTGCTCCAAAACAGAGCAATCAATTTCTAGGTTTAGCCTGTTTCATAATTCTCTAAATTTCAGATTCTTTTTTATTGTATGTCTATTAACAAATCAAAAGCCACTCTGCTTTGCAGTCTGATAAGCCCCCTCTTTAATATGCCAACATGCACCTGTGAGAGGGAAGACGTCTATCTAGGCAATGACAAGAAGTAATTGAAAAGGGAGAGGCTGACCTTTACAGCGTGCATGTCAATAGGCTTTTCTTTTAAGTAATCTATAGAAAAAATATTTTATATTCATGACTGCTATGGGAAAATCTTATGTTTACAGTCACTATGTTAAAACTAAATATCAGAACATTGCTTGTTTTAATATTTATTATTCAGTCCATAGATACATTTTGACTGATCTGTCATCGTCCTCAGAACAAAGAAATCTAAAGTTGATCATGTGGTTTCTTTTGGACAACAGTCTTTGACCAAACACTAAATAAGTGCTGTTGAGGATGCATGAGAAAGCTGTATGGAAGGCTAAGAGTTTACTTGTGCCAACTGATAAGAAATCGTGAATCCAGTGAAGCATTCCACCTTTGCACACACACAAATTGATGTAAAGCAATTCAAATCACATCTGAAGTTTTCAGGTATTTCATTACAGCCAAGTCAGAATTAGTACTTTGAATTTGACGACTTGTGTCAGGCTTTTAGATGCACATTACAGCTGACAGCTCTAAATGTACTGTAGGTAAAATTTCACAGAGGACCACAGCTAATGCATTTCAAATGAGGTTCAAGCCGTCATTTGTGAAATACCACAGAGTGGCACAACATGTTCTGTGCAGGTGTTTTGTTGAAAGTGCGGTGACTCACCCTTGTTACGTTCTTGACCCGGAACAGACGAGTAATGACATCCTCGTCTGCTGACATGGACAGAAACTCCACCTCCATGGGCCCGTACTGCTGCAAACCGGGTTCTGGCCAGTACTGAACACAAGGCTGCAGGTGGGGGGGCAATCAGAAACCCGGGGGGGATTCATCAGTGATTAAATTTGTCATTTAAACAGTATTTTTACACATGCATTATTTTGGAGTTGAGACCAAACCCTGGCATTTACTCTACAAATGTAGGGTTGTCTAAGAAAGGAGAATTTAAAGAATGAAACAAACAAACATAAAAACGGTAGGTTTCGGAGTGGAACATTGATGTTAATAAGGGGAGAGAGGCAGCCTGGGAGCGAGGGATGTAATGTTTCTTTGAGAGAGTGTAACCAGAGGGAGACTGAGTACTCCAGCACCAGAAATGAACTCTACACCAGAGTTCATAACAACATCTTGCAATAAATGCCTAAAGTGGGGATTTATCCATTTTCAGCGAGACAGCCTCAAATGAACTGTATTGCACTGGTTGAAACAAGATGAAAAAGATTTAAAGGGGGATGGATACAAAATGGGACTGAGCAGGGGTACCTGCAATTTCTTTTTCACTTTTAACCAAACTACATGGGGTGTTACAAAGCAAAATGCTGGAAACCATCTTTTCTTAATTAAATCAGTGTAGTGTGGATTTCAGTTGTTGATTTAGTTCTTTGACAGTTAAGTTTCTTTTCGTTGCCACATCATCTTTATCTTTCTTTATTCACATCATCCAAATCAACTTAGTAGACTACATGGTTGTTGTTTTTCCCTTGTCAAAGCATCTTTGAGTTTCTAGAAAAGCGCTAATTAAAACCAATTTATTATTTTTATTATTACATAACTGAACCTTGTGTGTCAATGGGGTCACTGCTACCAATAACACTCAATAACAAGTGTTTCCGTGAGCACCGTTAAAGAAAAACTGAAAACATTTTTAACGAGAGATTTTACAATAATTCAATGCGGACCTTAAACAATATTTAAAATTAAGAGAAATAACCTGCTTTCACAAGTTGTAATAATTCAATTGTAAACATTTATAATTTGACACTGTAAAATGTATACATTTTGCATTTATGCCTCTTTGGTCTGTCTCGCATGCTGTGTCCCGTTGTGGCGTACCACAGGGATCTGTTTTAGGTCATAATCTCTCTTTTCAATTTTTACTAGGCGGCTTTGATAGACAGCTACATATATATATATATATATATATTTTTCTGTTTATGATCGTTTGTACCTGCCCAAAAGGCTTAAATTATTCAGCAGCTTTGTCATCTCTGCGCAGCTGTTTATCTGCCATTAAGGACTGGATGTCTGCCAATTTCCCAGAGCTTTACTCCAACCAAACTGAGAAATTAATTAATGTCTCAATACTTACCTTGTAAAGTTGTGCCAGCTTTTGGCACAATAACGAGTATGTTGTTGATTTTACTGAAAATATGGGACTTCTATTTAATCCGTCTTTTTCAAGACTTATATTACTACAGTAACCTTGTATGAGTCTGTCTCCAGACCTGAGAAATATCTCGACGGTTAATTATTATTATTTATTTTTGTATTATTCACACTTAATATTTTACTATTTTTAGTTGGGTTTGGATTGTTGTAATGTTCTGTTTATCTTTATATTGAAGAGACAGCTCAGTTTGTTCATCAGTAAGATATGATGACATTTCAATGTCTTTACTTTGAAAAGATTTTAGGATCTTTTGTTTACTTTTAAAGCCTCTGTCATTATAGCACCTTACTTTGTGGTAGAGCCCTTAAATCCTTATTTATTAGATCAGGTATCGCTGTTAGAGCTCCAACCAAATGGAACAGCTCAACAAAGCTGCTTAGAATGCTTTAACTACTTTGAATTCTCCACTTAAAAATGAATGTATGACATTCATTTTAATTATTTGTTCTTTGTGCTCTGTTGTGTTTTTAATTAAATCTTGAACTTGAATCTCGTGTTGCTCATTATTGTAGCTATTATTGTAAGTGTCAAATAGAGCACAGGGAGTGTTGCAGCACAGAGAAGAACATATGCTGATGAGAGAAAGTGGGACAACAACAAAAAGAACCCTGAGATGTGGCTGGAGGGTAATGCAAGGCTATTCCACAGAGACATCACTTGAAGAGGGGAAGGGGGGGAAATGGGACGGGTGTTATCTAGTCGTGCCTTGAGATCAATGTGGTCAGGGATCAAAGCCCGACAAAATGGCATGAAGGAACTAATCCTAAGCACAGAAAGATAGAGAAGCAAGGGCGGGGTATGTCAGGAAAAAGTCTCAAGTAAAGTTCAGATAACCTCCAGACTGAAAATAAAAACTCTTACAGCAAACTGAGGCTGCTGTGAGTGAACTCAATACATTTGTAACGTCTGTTTCACCTTACAGTTCCGGCAAATCAATGGTAATAAAACAATATATAACACTTTGGCCTTACCCAGGCAGAGTTGGACTGGTTGAGCTGGTTGAGCATGACCACGGCTGTGCAGCCGTAGTCAAAGACCAACCTCCAGAAGTCCGCCGTGGTGCCGGGCAGAGGGTGAGGGGTCACAATGAAGGCAGCCTGCCGGTGGAAGCTGTCGGCGAGAGCAGCATTGATGTAATTGTTGCTTTCCCCTTCTGTTGTAACCAGGAAGGCCAGGGCGCGGTCAGGTGGCAGCACATCCATGCTGCGGTTCTTCTCTCGGTTTCTGGGCAACAGAGCAATGCTGCACTCTTCCACATCCAGGTGGGGGGTCACAGAGTTGAGGGTCTGTGAATGGAAATGTTTAAGAGGTGAGAAGAGAGCGAGAGGAGGCGGGAATAAAAAAAGAAAATCGAAGAGAACGTTTAAAAGACGGAAAGCTTGAGAAGCGGTGAGACAGCACAGGAGTCAAAGATGTTAGAGAGGAGGAGGAGGAGGAGGAAAGAAGTGAATCAGACAGAACGATGGAGGGCTGGGATGTGGAGGATGCCAACAATCTAATAAGTTTAATGGTAAGAGTCTTTCGAACTCTGAACATCTTGTTGACAAACTGATTTAAAAGCACCAATTAGGCCAGTTGTATTATAAAAGGTAATAAAGTTGTTTTTTGAACTCAGAAAGCTGCATACAAATGAGTCTTTGATGAACTCTCTGTTCATTACCCTGTTATTACATTAGACTACATCAAAATATATTTGGATAAATAATACATAGCATCAATAATAGATCTGTGACTTGCTGATCCCAGTATTGGCGGTGTGCTGTTTGCTCTCTGCATGATGAGAGAGTAAAAGGCAAAGCCAGAGTTCAATTGGTGGAGGGGAGGCTTTCATCGACAAAGTCAGACGTAGTATGTATAAGATCAAAGTGAGGGCTGAACATTTCTCTTTAAGAACAAGTTAGAGTTTGTAATCAGTGTGTAAAACACCTTCATTACGATTCCCTATTATTTTGCATTTCTAAGCAACAGCTGTTTGATTTTCCTATGTGATGTGGAGTATAATGGTTAAACTGTTTAAATTGAAAGGGGGGGAGCATATGCCTTTCCCTGTTTTACTTTGAAATGCTAAACCTGAAATCGATGCGGCTGCTGGTTGAACAGCTCAGCGGAGGGAGGTGGATAGAGCAGGTGAAGCATGTGGGAACACAGCTGGCTCTCCTCTCTCCTAATCAACATCTAATAAAATGTTCTGAGAGTGCAGTCCTACAAAGCACCAGGCAGAGGATTTCAATGACAGTCACATAGAATCAAAAGAGAAAGGGAATCTAACAAAAATCCTGCACATATGCAAACAACACAAACTCTGTTTCTTTCAAAATGTCCATGCCGGGAAGTACATCATTTCCACTACAGAGGAGATGCTATTTTTTCGCCCCAAACAAGACTCTTTTAGGTCTAGTCCACAGCAGAATATATGCAAAACATCTATGCAAATATAATACATTTGAACATGCTCATAATGGAGTACTGATATGTTTCCCTTTGTATTCTCTTTCAATACAAACCATCCGTATTAAAACAGCAACTTCAATGAATAAGACGACTGTATTATTGTTATTAGAGGAAATCCAGCACAAGTAGTAGATCTAGTACTAGTAGTTCTACAAAACATGTTGTGGTAGCAGGATGCTTAGTTTGAGTCTGATGTTGTTGTAACTGTAAAGGTGCTTAAATGGTGCATTAAAGTAAAAAGGTTCTTGGTGATATTTAATAATTTCCGTGCTGAATGCTAATGACAGTGTGTGGGCGATGTAAGTCAGAATGTGTGTTTGCATGTTCCTTGGTTTGAGGGCAGCATACTTTTTACCAATCAAAAATTTTCTGAGTAATTAAGCGAGGTCACCGTGCTGACCTGAAACTCCTCCCGCAGCTGAGAGGAATTACTCTGGGAATCCACTCGCAGCATCTCTTTGTAAGTGACTGCAAACTCGTTCACCAAGATGGCCGTCTCTCCGCACAGACATGCCTCCAGAATGGCATCGTGGATGAAGATATACTGCTCCTGAAGGGACGATAGATAACACAATTAAGAGCTGTGTGTCGGCCTACATTTGTACTCTAGTGGGTTACAGATAACATGAGAAAGTGTGTTTCAAAACAGACTTTACAAAGGAGGCGGGTCAAGAACATATGCAGATTCAACCATTTTTTCAATAATCTTTCTTGATTTATATCAAACACAAAACACAAGCTTTAATGTTGATGGTGTATCAAAGCAGATGTGGAAAAAAAACACATCTCTAAGTAAACAAACACATGGGCTGTGCATTCAATGAGAGCCCCCCCGCCTTTGAGTACAAATGTAATAACAGCTAAGTCAATGTTGGATTTACATAATAAGGGCTGAAAGATGAAAAAACCCTGACATCTGAAGAACAGCACGTGCCTCCGCAGCACACTGAAAGACAATGTGAGTATTTTTTTCTCAAACTATTGCAATGACCTTTACATATGTCCCACAGGGGGAGTATGATAATACACGCCCCTCGCTCTTTGAATTTCAAAACAACAGGGGGGGGGGGACGACGACGACAAATGTTTATGAAACCTGATTCTGTAGAATGCTTCCAGTGGAGAGAGGTTACTGTGTTTTGGTCAGGGATGTAACCTTCTAGATATGTGAGTGAAATCTGTGATATGTGACTTTGAATGTGAAGCAGTTCCCGGCTGTGCACTTGACCTGACCTCTGTCTGGATCATATTGATGCGTCGGGAGCAGAGGGTTTTCACACAGTTGTAGATATCCACCACGCCTTCACATTCGGCCATGTCCAGCATGACATCAAGCACGATGTAGCAGCCGGTGCGGCCCGCCCCCACACTGGCACACAAAGGAAATCTTTCATTAGGACTCTCAAGGATTAGGACTGTGCACTCTGAAAGCATTCAATTATCAGACTTTTGACCTGTAAAAACAGTTGTTATTTTTTAGGACACAGCCGCTCTGATCAGGAAGTAGAAGGCATTACTAATACATGAAGCAAAGAGGACAGGGGAGGGGGGTCTTTAGGAGGGCTAAAAGGTTCAATATAAGGGTCAATGTGAGAACGATTGTTTAATTGAATACATTGGTTTTAAGCTGTTCCATAAGAGGTATTTTTAAAGTAATAAAAAGCTAGCAACACAATCTCAGAAAAATATTTGATTAAAAAGAAGAGAATGAGAGATGAGTTTGCATCAATATCCATTGAAGTCCAGTCTTCATTTAAAACGTCTGAGTTTTCTCTTCTAAACATTAACTTTCAGGATTACAGGTGATTTAAAAAAAGGGAGAAATAAAGAAAGTAAAAGAGAAAGAGAGAGCGAAAGAAAGAAAGAAAGAAAGAAAGAAAAAGACAGAGGTGTTGTGTAAACCATCAGTGCAGAGATAAAATGCATGATGTCAAACTTTACCTTTCCAATATTTTGAGGAGTAATTGGTGTTTTAAAAGAGCAAAGCTGACTGCTCTCCCTGTCGATGACAGGACTCTCCCTCTTTTAACATTTCAGCGTCTCTCAGTCTCCAAAGAGATTACTTTCTCAGAACTATTTCTTATTGAACTTTTGAAAAAGGAACTGAGATAACCACTCAAAATTACAAATAAGGTAACTGTTCGTTTTCTTTGCCAACACCGCAGGTGGCAGCTGTTGCTAGGTTACACATGACTACCTGCAGTGGACCACAACAGGGCCAGCGTCAGGAGGTGTAGAAGCTTTCACTCTTCGTATAAAGGCCAACAGTCCCGTGGCGTGATAGGGCACACCGTGCTCAGGCCACGATGTGAAGTGGAACTGACGCACCTCGTGCTTGGTTGAGTATCCTCTCTGTCAGGGAAACACAGCATACATTAGCATTACATGTTTAACAGTACATTTAAATGGCATTCACCATAACCTCAGTAGCCTTAAGGGACACTTTTTCATCCAAAGACATGCATCCATTCAGAGACATTTCCCCTCTATGATAGATGTGGCAGATCTTTCAGCTCAGTGTGGGGTCAACCAGGACATTATTTACGTGGGGTGCTAGCTCTTTCAGGACAGTAAGGCCTCTGGGCATCACATGCTAGCTCGCTGCAGTGACAGACACGCAGAGAGTAATAACTGAGGCTCTCTGAGCTCGGGGAGAGCTGGGAGGTTTTCTCTTCTCTACTGGGAGGCGGCTGCAGTCACAGCAGTTTCTTCCTCAGTACAGCGATGACAAAGTGAAGTGACGCAAAGCAAAGATTTGTTGAAGAGAGAAATCCAAAAAAAGAATTTAAAAAAGAGCTATGAAAAACAAGCTGTCACCAGCTTCTAAATTTGTTCCGATTTGAATAAGCAGAAGCAGCATGCGTCTGTGGAGAGCGAATGTGACAGTGTGATGATAACGCTGTGTTTGTGCCACTGTCAACTGCAGCGCTGCTCTGAGCTCCTCCAATGAGAGATCCCCCAGGAGATTGACAGGATGAAGGCCAACAGGGGGCGCAAACACTGTTACAGCTATGTCGAAAAGACAGCAGGGGCACACACACAGCTCCTGGTGTTAATTCCTCTCAGTTGAACATGTGACCCTCATACACATGAGCAGTATGTCAAGTGTCTCAGCTCTGTGATTTATGGACTTCTGCTCATTTTCAGCTTACTATAACAAGTATAAAAAATGCTAAGAGTAAACAAAATGTAAACTCACCCTCTCCAAGGCGAAGGTGCGAACTGTGTATTCAGCCAGCGTTTCTGTCTTCAGCAAAGTGATTTTGATGTCGCCGTACATCTCACTGTCATCAGGCCAGTATTTACAGCACTTCACCTGGAAAAAAAACAACAACAGAGAAGCAACAGAGGTAAACCTCCAGCTGACAGGTCAGGAAAATGAAAATGCAAAACGGAAGTTTTTGTATCATGAATAAATCTGTTTGAGAAATGCTTATGAAGGTTGAATCTCCATTACAACGCCCCCCCCCTTCCCCCCCAGCAATTCCAAAAAAGCTTTATTGTTTTGACCTTCTTTTTTGAACACATAGTCGACTCGAATATCCTTTTGAAAAAGGAAAACTAAACCAAGTCAAAATGGTTTCAATGCATTTTGAGTGAATTGTTCATATTTCCCTCAATAACATTTCAACTCATTGATAGAAAATCTAATCTAGTTGTCTAAAATCTAGTTCCTCTTAGCTGCTAGTCTTGAAATCCAGGATGCATCCCTCTAAAAGAGAATTTCTCTTCTTCCTCTTTTTAAATTTGGATGTAAGGGAAGGGACCCGATAAATACCTTAAACCGAGGAAATGCACTGCAAGGCCAAGGTTCAACTGTTGAACAAGTGGCACTGGATGATACATCATCTTTGAGACAGTGACAGAGAGTAGGTCTAAATTAAGGTTTCTTCTGATGTACTGTTGGATTATACCTTTAGTAAGGCCAGTTTGGGATTTTTTAGTTTTTTCAAGTCCTATACATTTTAGAAATGTACACATTAAATCCCAGACAATGAATTTTACAGCAAATGAGGTAAAGATTTACCTGTGTCATAATTTCTTATTATGTGATTAAAATAAAAATGTAAAGTTCCTCTTTAGTTGGCTTAACTAGAACTGAGGAATATTGGTAGCATTTATTGAGTTGGAAATGTACAGAGGTCAGATTGCAAATTCTGTGGAAAGAACAAAAACAACTTGTTCCTCTGCATCTGAGAGGGCAAAAAAAAGAAAGACACAATAATCACATAATGGAGGGAAGCATAATGAACAGGCGGGCAGCAATCTTGTGCACCAACACCAGGCACAAAGGAGGCAATTTTTATTTATTTAATGGAGGTGTTATTTGGATTCAGCTGCACAGACCAGTCCTCGTTTGTTGACTGTTCCCAGAATTGTTAGGATGGAGAACTAAATTGGATGTACGAGAACTGCTGCTAGAAAAATGGTGTCATTTTAACCATCCACTGTGGTAATATGTTTCTCTTGCCGAGACTGAAAAGGACGAGGTGCTTAGTGCAGAATTCATAGACTGCGGTTGTTTATGTGAGTTGGAAAATAACAGTCTGACAGTAAAGCCATTCAAACTGCGTAGTAATGCAGTGTATGGAGAAGTTAGCGGAAAATAGATACCCGGAACAGAAGACATTTGATGTATCTCAAGTACTGTATGGCACATTTTATGGACTCCATTATCATTAAATGTCATGATGTACATTTATATAAAACACCAGAGCCTGATGCTTTCAAAACATACAGATTAGGGATAATCAATGCAGTGATCCAGTAAATTGCATGTGCTCAATGAGACTTTGTGTAGACTTTCCTGTGGCTTGTTATCCACTCCACACTAAGAAAACGTGACAGAAAATGTAAAGAAACTTGTTTTTTCACTCTCTTGCTCAGAGTTAGACGTTGAATTCCATCAAACACTCTTGTCCTTACAGTACCTTTAACCCCTATTAAGTTAGCTTAGCTTAGCATAAAGCCAGGAAACAGGAGAAAGCTAACCTGACTTTGTAGGTGCAAGTAGGAAGAATTTTGATACCTCTGCACAAAGTTCACTTGATCACACACTCTAAACAGTACGGGCCGTTGGGTTTTATGATTGAATCTTCACACAGCTAGCTGCTTCTAGTCACTGTGCTAAGCTAAATAACTATTGATTGTACTGTTGGGCCACGCAGGCTTAGGACAGTCAAACAATGGACTTGGGCCTGCACCTCTGTAAAAGCCTCATTTGAGTTATTCACTGAGATCACAAAGAGGCCTAAAAGGACTCTTAATCCCAGAATCCCCTGCGGTACTTCACACCTACACGTGAAGTAAGGGGGGACCGGAACCTCTCTCTCCTCATTGGAGGGGGCCTGAGGTAGACCCCCCATGGAGCAGGCCAGGCTACAAAACTCCAAGACTTCCATTGCTCGACCTCTTTCCACGCGCTGACTTCTGGTGCTCGGAGACCCAAGCTCACCTCCTGTTTCCTGCAACAATCTTCCTTTGTTTTAAATTTTTGGCGCGCAGGTAATCCGTGGCCGGCAGTGTTCTAAATTCCGAGCTCGGATTGTCCAGTGAACGCATCTCAGTTTCTCGGAGAGCGTCAGACTATAACAGATTATCAGAGAGATAACGGTCTTATTCCGTCCTGCAATGAAAGGACATCAAAGGACATCTTTCCACTCGACGGAGAACCAACGAAGCCGCTCTCGCCGTAAGGGACCCTCGCCGCCATCAGACGCCTCTGCACCAGGACGGACAGAAGATCTGCTCCATCGCCGGACTCTTTTCCTTTCACCAATCGCGGACAAAGCGATTCACAAGTGAGGCTTAATTAGGTCTGGGCAGAATTAGCTTTAGAGAGTGTTTTTAACAATTGTTGATCGAAGCAGAAACTGTAATTTTTATCTTTGTTGGACCGCTGCGTCCTGAGTTTTAACTGTTTAAAACTCTTGTTGTTGTTTCGGACCCCTGCGTCCTATATGTGTTTAGCGTAACAGCGTTATAACCGGGTATTACTCTTCTGATCAGAAAGACCAGTGTAAGCCGTATTAACCTGAATTCGGCCATTGGTTTGTTTCTGTGAATGAAGGGAATTACTCCGAGTTGTGGCGCGGGAGTCGGACTGTGATCCGGCCTCTTCAGGCACGCATTTCTCTTTTATTCTCTTTTATTTCCCCTTCTACGAACATACACACACATATTCCTGTGTAAACGTACATCTGGAGACCAACTCCACCACCGCGCCATTACGCACAGAGATCTATACACTCGCGGCTATCCAGACGCCTCAGAGACACAGATCGTGTAGGGCCGAACTCAGTCTCTTTTAGACCTTAAGGCCACATTTAGGCCTTTGTTAGGTGTGCGCCATCGGAAGGGCGACCACGTGGGACGAAGTAATCTTCCCCCCCCTTTTCTCTCCCTTTCATCCACACACGCACGCACCCAGGTCTTTGTTAGGTTTGCGCCATCGTGAACGACCACGAGGGTACGAAGCCATCTCCCCCCCTTTTCTTCCTCTCTCTCTCTCTCTCTCTCTCTCTCTCTCTCTCTCTCTCTCTCACACACACACACACACACACACACACCTACATTCACACCCCTTCCACAAGCCTTTGCTTGATAATGTTTGGTGCTTAGATTAGTTTTTAATAGTTATTTGTTTAATTAAGTTCATTGATTTTGGATTGATGTTGCTTTGTTTAAATAAATTCTGTTATAATTTAAGAGAGCAGTTGTTTGTGGTTACTGGTGTATTTGCATTGTGATATAAGCTGGGTGCGAAGGCTTTGTGTACGGATTTCACGCCTTCAATTTATTAAATATAGTTATTCATTATTAATAATATTAGTAATTAAATAACTAATTTGAGACTGATTTGAGTTGGTGCCCCAAAACGAGATTAAACATAGTTTAATGATATTTTATTTATATTATTAATAATTAAGTATAATTATTAAAGAATATAACCAAAGTTGACTTGATACAACCCCAACAGTACCTTCATGTGTAAAGACATGAGAGTGATATCAGTTTCTCCTCTGACTTTCAGATAAAATAATAATAATAGAACAAGTGTTTTTTTCCTTAAGTGTTGATCTGTCCCTTTTCACATTGAGGTCCTCTACTGCAACAGCAGCTAAGGTATGTAGTTTCACATAAATGCAGGGTAACTACATCACAATGAACAGCCTTTAGTCTGTCCAGCAAACGCCAGTGAGCGCTATACTTATCAAAAACACGACAGCCTTTCCTACAAAACCGAAGTGTTCCCTTATGGAGAATGGAGGATGTTTCTGAGCACTGGGTGGTTATGGGGGGGGGGGGGGGTGTACATCACTTACCCTGCCAACCTCCACCAGCTTAGTGATCATGACGATGCTGAAACAATTTTCCTGCCACACCATCCTCCAGAAGTCATACAGAGTCTCCTGCTTGGGTCCTGTTGGGAAGAAATAGAGAGAGAGAGAGTGAAAGAGAGAGAGAGAGAGAAACGACAGCATCAAAGCCGTGCTCTAAATCAGAGATTCCTTGCTGTTGTGAAATTTCATATCAATGCGACGTAAGTGTCCTTCCTCAACGACAGGGTACTGATCTCTCAAGATTGTGCCGTTATTGAGAATTCCAGGCAGAAGGGAAGGGGCGCTGGGTGACAAAACAACAGCAGTGGCTGATGATGAAAGCCCGAAGGACCATCAGTCACTCATTGTCATCGGTGGAGGAGACGTTTAGGAGGGGAGATACAACTTTCAAACAAAGATCACATAGGAAAGAAATGCTCAGAGAGACAAAAACACTGCTGACATCTTTTTTTTTTCCTCTCCTGCATGTTTCTCTTCTCTGTCTCACAGAGAAGGGGGAAGAGGAGATGCTGGTGCAAGATAAGCAGGAGAGCAGACCTTGAGTGACTTTGTGACGGGAGCTCCCTAGACATCGACACTCCTTGGGTTTAAGAAACAGCAGTGTGGGAAAAATGTACGCGCACACACACACACACACACACACACACACACACACACACACACACACACACACACACACACACACACGCACACGCACAAGCTAAGTCTGTCCATGAGAAGCAGATCTGTATTTAAGTGATAGAGGGTGAACACTCCATATGTCAATAGGATTGTAATCTCTGAATGCATTAGCTTTCGCTGTAGTTGGTAACACTGAGGCTTAACTTTGTCTTTTGTCAGTGGTATGAACATAAACAAAAAACATTATCTTCATCTACATATGATCTACATATATTCATGGTAAACTTTTCAAAATAAAACCATCTGATATGTAAAAAAATAAAATGCAAGTTTTGTCAGCTCTGGAAAAGAAAACAACTTTTAAAATCCTTGTTTGTTGAATGAAGGTCGGATTGATCATTTGTGATTCATTCAAGAAAGTCAGGAAATCAAACTGCTGATTTCATCAGGCACATTTAATGCCCAAGTTGCCTTTTTTAATAATTATTTTTACATTAAAGAGACAGGAGGGTTGAAAGTGTTGGAAACCAGGTAGAGAGAGAAAGAGTTGGGAACAACATATGAGAAAAGAGTCACAGGCCAGACTGGAACCCAGGCACCCCCGGGCTACAACCTGTGACAAGCTGTAAGCTGCACTTGCATGTCGATATTTGTTTTTTATAAGTAAATAAATCCTCATCACATTAGTGCTGTTGGAGCCCGGTAACATCGGATTGCTTCCCACTTTTCCAATCAAACTCTACTTCCTGCCAACACCAAATCTTGCTGAAACATGATTGGTCAATCAAATCTACAAGCTTACTCCAAAAAGGAAACCAAAACACTTCCCATACTAAAATCACAGATTCTTCATTCATTATGTGGAATCTCTAAATAGAGGAGTGAGAGGATATAAATCAGTTTTTCATCTTTTTCAATGATTAATTCAGTAAAAACAGGAACACATCCGTCACAGGTTCATATCCACTATATCCAGTTGAGATGCTTTTGGACAGGGGGACAGAGCATGAGTAGGCTCATTGGCTGGATCATCATCCATTTATCACACCTCCACAAAAGGTACTTGCCATCCTGCACATACACACACATACTACAGTGTGCGGCTTGCTGGGATACTCACCCTGAGTGGCGATGAAGTGGTTGGATCGATGGTAGCCCTGAAAGAGAGAAGAGGAATGACATGCTGAGTAAGCCATCTGCACCTCAGGCACAGCTGTACGGGGGAGTGTCCTCTTGGCTCGCCCTTTTTTTCTCACTTTCATCTCTGCATGCTGACCCACTCTATGTAACTGTAAAGCCAATTTCTTGTATTATTTTACAGGACTGTCTGACTTATTGCTGACTTCAGACCACCTCTTTGTCCTCAGGGACTCACTGGATAGTTTGGAGCTGGTTGAGGCATCACACGGTAAACACATTCTCTTTACAAACTGCTCATATATCTCTGGAAAATCAAATTCCTACTGTGAGACGAGCTGACTGAGCAATGACTGAATCCCTGAGAAGGTTTGATACAGTGCTGTCCCAGAAGAAGAAATCAATTTTTATTAATGGTTCAAAAAGTGCAATTCAGAGCCTTGCATAAGTAGTATCCTGCCTAAGACTTGAGCACATTTTGCAGTTTTATAATGTGGAATTCATGGACATATTCTCGCTTTTTCCTGTTTGATAAACAAACAAGTGCAGTCCAAAGCAGGTGGTGTGCACCTGTTGGATGCACAAGCTAATCTAAAGGCCATTGGTTTCACCTAATCTCATAGTAAACAGTTTCACAATAAAGCACTCATAGATTTGAGATATATATATATATATATATAATCCCCCTTAATATTCTTAATTTAAGGACTATTTTGTGTTGTTCTATTGCATACAACCACAATAAAAATATTTATAATTTTACATTTTCAGTTGTAAAATTCTAATGTAAGGAACACATCAATGGGGGTGACTATAAAGGCTATGAACTGTATTTTGATGATGAAATGAAATAAGCAAAATCACGTCATCCCTCGTAAAATATCCTCCTTCAGTTCTTACATTCATACTAAGACAAAAACACAGGTTTTTATAATTGCACAATATCCTCACTAAGATTACAACTTCAAAGGTAAACTCTTAAACATATGGTGAGGAATTCTGAGATCATTTATATCAAAGCACTTGACAGCGTTTGATACAGATGAGAGACATTTTCACATGGTGAGAATGAAGTGAATATGGATGAATGACGAGATGTCACCTCTACAACCTTGTGGGGAATAAAACAGGTAAAAGACCACCTGGGAGGCTTTGAAGTGAGACATGAACACTAAAAAGACCAGCAAACTGTTGGAAATAAGAACTCCTGGAATAAGTGCTGTGTATCTAACCTGTTGCATAGACATCACCTTGGATGTTTTTTTTCATTCTGAAGGATGCAGCTATAAGGATAATTGATCTCTTTGATCCTCTATTGACTTTCTTGTGGAGTGACAAAGTCGGTTTAAGAATGACTATCTAATCAAACTCTCATGCAGACCGTCTCTCTGCAGATCAATTTAATGAGGCACTGAAATAGTGGACGTGACCCTAGTGACCCTACGTTTCTCCAATGGACAAATGTAGCCTGGAGTTTATCATTGGACTGTCACATTGGTTTTCTGGGGTGGAGTGACCATATTAAGAGGAGGTGGTGGTTTTTGAGAGTGGGGGTTGGGCAGCAGGAAGAAAGAACGCTGTACAGTCAACACCAGTGGCTAATTCATTAGCGGGAGAATTTGATTATTCACCATGATGTTTACCACAGAGTGAGGTTTGTATTTATGCTGGCGGCTCACTATCACTGTTAATTTATCAGACTTAAGAAGCTAATGAGCTTGTGGCCACTTGCTTGCCCAAATATTGTGTCTAAGCTGCAAGGCAGTCACCCACCACTAACAGAGGCTGTAGCTCCAGTTATTGGGCCTGCTCTCCCAGCTCTACTGCCCATCTTCTTCTATACTTCTTTTAAGAGTTGAGCACAGAAGATTTTTATTTTGACACTCTGTTTCATTTCTTTTTAAAGTAAGAAAAATAAACACATTAATCTAACACCTTTAAGATATTTTAATGATTATGTTGGATTGGATATTGTGAGTAGAGACAGAACGGGTAAAAAAAATGCTTTTCATTCATATGGTACTTTATGTTCTGTCACCCTTTCAAAGATGAATGCCCCAGTCAACAAAAGCCTGGCTCTGCCCCTATGAACTGGCCAAAAAATCAAATAAATGTATAAATAGCACTAAACAGGCTCAAAAGCCATGAAGCCCAAAGAAAGCTAAAGGTTCTTTTCCATTTTTTGATTTTTTTCATATTTTTAAAAAATATCAAAATTAACACAAACACAACCAAGACATTAAGTTCAGTAAAGAAACTTTGTTGTTAGAAAAACAGAATGATCCACTTACCGATGTGAGTGACTGCACTCTATAACTTTAAGGCTTAATTTAATTTAAATGGTGACTGTCATAATCATTCCCCATCCTGTACAGTTCTCATGAATAGAGAAATGAGCTGTTAAGACCAGAGATTTGTTTTGTATCAGGCTGTGAATAAAAATAAAATGTGCTGTTTTACGTGGGCTCTAAGGGGGATATTTTGACTCTCAAAGCAAGCAAGTGGACATTAGAGAAACTCACCTTTTTTACATCTACATTAGCTCAATATTTCTAAACCCGAAGTTGACGCTTGGGCAATCCAAGTTAGTGGCAGCTTTTTGTCTTTCAGCAAAAAATGTTGACTCAGACTTCCTGGGTCTTGGCTACTTATGAGAACTAACAGAGACAGCAGGGTGCTCCACCCAGAGAGGACACATCTTCTTGTGTTCTTTTAAAATCATGACCTAAAGGGACATGTCTTACTTTTGCTAGTTTGCTACATGTGCACAAACCTGAAACACACTGATCTTTGAGCAATTGTGGATATAGGAGAGTGGACAGAGAAGAGGGAAGTGTGAAGAGAAGAAGGGGGAAAGAGCAACAATAGAGCGATGGCAAGCAGAAGAACGAGCAGTGAAGTACTTACTTCCCTGTTTATCCGAATCTACAGAGTCCAAGGTCGAGGAAGTAGGAAAGGGCAGTAGAAAAAGAAGACATATAGGCTAGTTAATGAAAGAAGCGTTTGGTAAGAAGGAGTTATGGTTACAGACTGGTTAGAAGGAAGTGTGTTTGTGTGTGTATGTATTTAATATAGCAGGACTTTGCTTTATGTAATGGAGCACTCGTTATGGGAAAATGTACGACTTAAGCCCATTGTTTGATTAACTGTAATCTCTTTAAATGTTTTTTTCAAATCAAACTTACTTTTGATGTTTTTCAGTCGTAAATTGGCTTTATGTTTTTTGTTTGTTTGATGAAGGAGGGTAGAAAAATAAATCTGGCTCCTTTTCTCCACATTCATTATGTTGATGACTAGAAATTGTTGTTTTCACACCGGTTTTGTAATTATAACTAAGTCTGTGTATTTCCTTGGGTTTGTAAAGTGTATAAAGGGAACACTGTAGGGCCAGGCTTTGTGAGTGAACAGGGGCTGTGGAACAAACTGCTTTTAAAGGTGAAACAGTGCAATCTAAATAGTTACTCCTTAGAGCTCCTGAAAACATGGCTTCTAATTTGAAATAGTGCATCACCAATTAAGATTTACACTCAGGATATTCTCACAAGAAACAGAATAGACAACGAAACACAAATCTGGCGTTAACTTCACCCGGAGAGCAACTCATCTGCCACCAGTTCTGCAAAACCTTTGGGTTCATTATCTTAGTAGCATCCACAACACAAGGTTGTTTTTTTTATTAAAACACAATTTTCAGCCTGAGGGACTTTACCAAACTTCATCTTGTTTTTCGAGGCCACACAAGTTTTCGTTTAACTTTATTTTAAAACAATAGTCAACCCTGAGATCTGTAATCAGTCTCTGACACTTAAAACCATTGAAGTTCTCCATTAAGCATTTCTTAAAGATAATCAATAATCATGACTTATTAATCAACTTTGAAAATGAAAAGAAAATGTATTAGTCATTGATCCTTCATCAAGACTGTGTGTAGGTTTACTTTTATCAAATTGGACTGAAATGAACATTGCAAAAGAACAAACAACCCACTAACTTTCACAGATTAAATGTGAAAAACGTGACATCATCTTTTAAAATCTGAGCCAAGCCAACCTGCTAACAAGAGTGAAAAGCGAGGGAAAGAAAATATATCTGAAGTAGAAAAAGCTTTTGTTATTGTTCATGTACAGCAAAGAGCAAATGAAGAAGACTTAAAGGTAGGTCACAAAGTTAGAAGTTACTTTAATTTTAACATATCAAAGTGTATGTGTGTTTAAAAGTACTTTTTATGGTTTGATCTTGATGTGTGACCATTCTAAATTTTGGCTTAACCCGTTACTCTTTAGAAGTAAACTACATGTTTATCAGCATCAGCCAGGCCACACTACACTGCTCTACATTTGCAACAGATGCAGAAAGCTGCATTACAAACGAAACAATTACAAACGTCTTCACATCTCTATACCACACAAAGCCTTGAGTAACACTCTGCTACAAAGCGACACAGGAAACACAGAGCTTGCACTTTCTCACCTCTTCTTTTTAACTACATTAATCTCTCGAGGGTGGAGAAACTTTTTTTTCATTTAACCTCTGGTTAAATAATCACAAGCTGTCCAGAATACACTCTGCTGTGGCTGAGTAGTTATTATTCAGCATGCTGGCTCGCCCTTCTCTGGGAGTAACATCAGCAACACTGACACCGTAGTGGCCTCTGAGTGGTGTTTTCCCTCTAATGCTGGCACCTCTGAGCCCTAAACGCTAATGGAGACCCTCACAATAACTACAGTCCTGACAGCAGGCCAGGTTTTTAACGCCCTCTCCTTCTAATGAACTCTCTAAAAGCATCTCAACACTGGCCACTCTCTACAGAGAGGTAAAAGAGAGGGGGAATGCCCAGGAGTGTCGAGCATTTTAGATGACAGTTAAGACAAAAGAAGGAATCCACACCGAATTTCATGCACCTGGTTGTTTTTTTGTCACTGACTAACTCAAATCTAGCAGTTTCAAACATATCTATTTCCTAAATATTGAGTAAACATCAGGATCTTTCTACCTCTTATCAGACTCAAACAGGAGTGGAGACAGAGTTCCATCTTACTTAACGAGAGGCGAGCAAATAAAGCAATATCAAACTGCCAGACTTCCCTAAACATAGCTCCAATAAAAAGACAACATCTGCCGACCGTGAGAGCAAATTCACACAGGTACCCAAACTCAAGGTACTATCTGGTGGTAGAGTTTTATCTCTTTTAAATGTCTGGGTCCATTTTCTTTTGTTTACTTCATTGGTGCCATCTTATCCTCCGCCTCTGCTTCCTGAATAAACACAGCCTCCTCTTGTTTTTTTTGTTTTTTATGGATGGGAACAAATGGATGAGACTGTGTGAGACACATTAGCAACATAAACATGTATTTCATATGATCAGTGAGAATGTAACTGTGGAGCTGCATGTGTTGCCGACATTTAATGTGAACAGTGGACAGGATCATCTCTTCAGCCCATCCACAGATTGAATAACATCAATCACGACTATTTCATTCAGGGGGATTAGTGCCATCTTACAAAAAGGGTTATGTCCTCTCTGAAATAATTAAATGCATTCATTGCACTCTGTTTTAATAAAAGTGATAGCAGGGTCAGTCTGGGTCAGGGATTCACTGCAGCAATTGACAACCACGGAATCTAGCCAAACACCATCAGGCAAGGTGTTTGATTGGATGAAAGCTTCCAGGTGAAAGTGGGCCAGCAGACTGGTGAGCTTACAGGAATGAGAGAGATGGACTGTAGCTATGCACTGTGGGAGGGATAGAGTCCCCTGTTTGTAGCTCATGACAACAGAGGCAGAAAGAAAGGATTACACTTACGTCAATGTAGTTAGCATTGATGTAGTCCGAGTTGGGGTCTCCCAGGAGAGGGTGGAGCTTGACTCTGTGGCGGTCATCTAAAACAGATAAGGATTTAATGAAAAGTATGTTGAAACACAAAGTTTTCAGATAATTTTCAATGTTCATAATGGAATAAATGGATTATGATGACTCACATCCTAACAAGGTATCATTCCTCCCTTTGGTTTTGTCCTTCTTCTTTGTGCAGTCCCAGCCATCGAAGAAACTCTGTGAAGAGAAAAGAGACTCTGGTGAATACTTTAAATTCAGGATTTTCCATATTAAACCACTGAAATATGTGTTTTGTGTGATGATATCTTTTAATGGATATCATCAGAAAAGCTAGTGATTACTTCTTCAAAACACTGCTTAAGAGATAAAGAGCCAATGTATTCTACACAAAGGTTTGGTTGTCTATACATAATAAGTCAAACCCAATTCAAAGCAAGGGAGATAAAAAGTTGAGCCACTGTTTAAAAGAATCAAACACATATGTTAGCTTAGCAGCATAACAGGGGTAGGCCTTTGTAACAACAAAGAGTTCTTTCACTTTTTCTTAATGTACTTTTAACACCTAGCTCTACACTGGCACACAAGGACATCAGCTCTTTTTGTGTCTTTTACATGATTGGATTGTCAACTTTTATGAAGTCCCATAATCACTGCTTTACACTTTTTTTCTTGAAAACATTCCCCTGGAATATTTACAATTCTGTTTGACACCAACTCCTTGAACTAAGGTAAGCTGCTGGTAATCAGGGTGATTTTTTTTGGCTTTTTGTGCCTTTATTTGAGAGATAGGACAGTGGAGAGAATCAGAGAGAGAGAGAGAGAGAGTGGGGAATGACATGCAGAAAAAGAGGCACAAGTTGGTTTTGACCTGGGTCACCACAGCCTCCATACACGGGGTGCGCGCACCACCCACTGTGCCACCAGCGCCCCAAGGTGTCAATGTTACAATTCGCTTAGCAGACGCTTTTATCCAAAGCGATGTACATCAGAGAGTTAGTACAACACTAATTAATTCATACACCGCCACTGAAGCAGCGGGAGCAATGCAGGGTTAAGTGTCTTGCCCAAGGACACATCGGACATGTTGCTCAGCTGGGGATCGAACCCTCGACCTTCAAAATAATTGCTTTATGAGAACAGAAAGAAAAAAAACACAGAAATCTATTTGTTAGCCTCTAGCCTGATGTTTGATGTGTTGCAGGATGAGATGAAATGTACACTTTAACTGTAGGCTAACCTTCAACAGAATGTAACTCTTTTGTAACTCACTAAATGTTTTGACGATACTTATTACTGTGTGTTGAGCTCCCTGGTCAGTAGTAGGAAGGCAGAGAAACTTTGTACCACCTGATTCTGGATGCCCGCTCAGCTGTAATTTAACACATCAGACTCAGTAAAACGTCTTCTCATTCCCTATCATATACCTGTCTGCATTATTGCACTTTCTAGCGCTTCCTCTCTTACATTCCTCATAAGCTACTTTAAGGCGTCCACTGTTGGGCCAAATTAAGCCTGCAAATAAGAAATAAGATTAGAAATCCCCCCCCACACACACACACACACTCATACACACACATCCATACCAGTCTACCCCCTGTGGTTTGAAGCCACAGGGGGACATTTGGGGAGACTCTGCCCAAGTCTGCATGCTGAGCAGGGGATTACAACACAGTTCTCCCCACAGAGAGCCAAGAACCAGCCAAATCCTGCCTTGTATTACATCCTACTGCTCATTTTTCCTTCCTTCTTCTTTGGATAGCAATCTTGCTCTGAATCCCTTGTTCGCTTTACTTCCTTCCAACTCTCTTCATTACTTCTCTCCCTGACCTGATGGCTCTTCTTCCCTTTCATTTTTGACACAAGACCTTGGAGCTCTTTTGCTTTCTGTGCTCTCACCAGTCCTCTGCAGAACCCTCTGGAGAGGAGAGGAGCAGGGAACAACACTGTGTGTGTGTGTGTCAGTATATTGAAGGGGAGGGAAAGGAATCAACATAGACCTGTGGAACATCGATTAGAAACCCTCATTGGAGGGGATCAGTAAGTTTGGTTGGTGAAGAGAATCATATAAAATGAGTAAAATGAGATGAAGGAAACAATGTCACAGTTCTGAACTGTTGGAGCAAGACTCTTGATATTCTAACATCGTAATGTACTATTAACATCCAATGAGATTTTAACGTTTCAATAATTTATTTCCTCACAAGAAAAATAAATAATATAATAAAAATAGTTTCTAAAAGTGATGGCATTTGAATTGTGAATTCCATTCAGTGAAAATCCAATCAGAGATTTCCAATGAATAATATATTGAAAATGTAGGGAAAATGAAACATCTAACTAAGAATATAAATAACAAGCCTGACTAATGATAACAAAGAAGCACAGTCATTCAGTAGCTTCCTGCTGTTACTAAACTTTGTATCAAAGAGGTCACCTTCACAAATAACCTAACCCTCTAGGTGCGAAGTGGTACTTTGAAAGTTTGAGTTGTCCGGTAAATCTCTGATGTTGTTTACTTGTACATTTCCACAGTGGGGATATGACTGCAGTGACAGCAGCTGCCACACATACAAACCTCTTTACAACTCGCTGTAAATTCTTGATCAGTTTTACACAACATAGGTATTCTTTAGGGAAATAAAAACCTATACCTGCCAGGGGAGTGTAATATGATACTGCTCATCATCTTCACTTATAATGGAGACAGACACTCCATCAAAACACATACTCTAGGACAAAGAGTAAAAAAAAACAACAGAGGTGTGTATTGATTTTTTCAGTTGAGTGTGTTTTGCCCGTGAGGGACAGTTTAATGAGTCTAGAAGCAAGAGTTCCAGAGGGGGAAACCATGAACCAGAGACAAAAGATGTTTTCTCTTTTTCATGAATGCTACAGGCTGTAGGTGACCGGGATGGAGTCCTCCCTGGGGTGTGAACACAAGTCTAAGCCGCAATTGTTTCACTGAGGCTGGTATTCTGAGATCTGGGCTCTTCATTTTGTGACCTGAAATGTCCCATTAGAAGTAGAAGCTGCTGCAACAATAACAAGAGGGGGATAAGCATTGTTCTGCAAAACAAAGCAATTTTGTACTTAAGAGTTCAATTCAGAAGTAAAACATTGGTGCAAAAAAAAACAACTATCCAAGCAGTTTTCTGCCAATCAAACAAAACCGCATTTGTGGGGTAAGCTGATTCTGAACAATTTCTGTTAAGTACCTGTACGACATCTTGGCCAACCTAAAAACACATTGGCTTTAAACTGCAAATGTCTGAACTATATAGCATCTGGAAACAATGGCTAATTTGGGGGCTTCCTGTGTAGCTAGTAGTGGGCCCAGACTTCCTGTTCCATGCACCTTCGAAGACATTTGAAAAGGAGAGCAGAGTTCATATTGAGAGTTGATTGTTTCAATCTCCACATTGACTCCTGCTTGTTAGTGGACAATTTATTTTTTATTTTTAACCACTTCATAGAAGAACATTTTAGACACCATATATAATCCCCTTTTGCCTACAGAATCTGCATTTGTATGCATTCAAATCGAGAATATGTTAGAGGCTTATCATAAGCTTTTAGTCTGAGCTACTACTAACACTATTAATACTGTTCAAGGCAATACATCTGTTTTGGAAATAAGCAGGAAAATTATGAAGCTTGAATTGTTCATCCGAAATATATCTGAAAAAACATCAAGTATTCCCTAAGGTGAAGAAGAGATGCTATGCTTTACAGTCTGATGGTTACCTTTGGGAATTATAGCCTTCACATTGTTTCCTACATTGGACAGGATGGTAAATACTAACATTTTGATGGAGGGTGGTAACAGGGCACGGGATCCAAGAGCTCTCTTTCTCCACAATCCTTCCTTTGCACCCTGTCATCTCCCTTCTCTTTCCACTCAACCTCCCTGGACTCACCTTTCTCTTTCCTACCTGACAGTCTCTAAGCAGTGGACAGGTGACTCACAAAGCTGGAAAACCTCCAGAGATGTTTAACCTTATCAGGCCTGCCATCATGACTGAGGTCTTCTTTGAGGAAATGAGGATGATTTATTGATGTATTGCAGCAACTGTGGGATTTAGAAGCCCACTCATTTTTCTTTGTCTGTTTATTTGGATCCCCATTAGCTTTGCATAGCTAGACATTATTGTTCCTGGGATCCACAGTTTATAATGTAGTGTTGTAGTACTCACAATCAGTGTTGGTCTCGAGACCGGTCTTGATCTCGAGACCACTTTTTAAAGGTCCAGGTCTCAGAATCGAAAGCATTTTTACTCAGTCTTGTGTCTGCCTCAGACTGGACGGACTGCAAGTCATTACTGTGATTCGAAGGAAAACGGCCCTTTCTAAAACAACAAATAACTTAAAGGTCCCATATTATGCCTTTTCTGGTTTTATATGCCCTTTAGTGTGTTTTCCAAGTGTCCTGTGCATGTTTAGGCACATCTATGTGCAAAAATTCAAAGTCCGCGGAAACGTGGCTTCTCCTACATCTTCCTGTTAACTGTAGCATTAGCCGCATGTAAGGCTCGGTTCTAGCCCCCCTCGATAAAAAATTGTCAGTGCGGCGTCATTGTCAGTGTGAGATCACTGATCTATAAGCCCATTGGCTCGTTGTGGCAAGCCCTGCTGCTCATGTTGAAATTTCCGAGAAGCGTGCTGAGCAACTGACCAATAATGACAGAGCTGATCGGCAGACCAATCAGAGCAGACTTGGCCCACGTGGGGTCTAACAGTGTGGGCTCAGCAGAGCAAGGAGGAGCAGTACATGAAAACAGACACTTTTTTCAAACTTTAGCTATTGTGAACGTACAAAAGTAGATACATAGATTAAATATAAGAACCCCAAAAAGGGCAGAATATGGGCTCTTTAAATTCATTCATAATTTGATTTGTATCCCCTGGTTACAGCCACAATCCTCCCGGTGTTAGGGTCTAAGTGAGCTGCACAATTTATGGTCTCGGTCTTGACTATAACACTATAACACTGAGACAATACAATTTACACCTTAACACTTTTTATCACAACATTAAACAACATGTAGCACATCTACAATAACTTATAATAATAGTCATAAAACAATTGAAATAAATGAACAGAAGCTCAAAGAACAGACAATACAAAGGCTCCATCTGAATCAACAGCATCTAAAAGATAAACAGGTTCACACTAAAGTCCCATAGTACCAACAGACTAAAAAGACTCAGCACTAACTACTGAAGTTTCTCTGTAGGTAATGATGTTTAAGTGGGGTGGTGAGGAGAGGGCACAAATGATGTCAGAGGGAGATTGATGACCTCCACACCAATATGGCAAGAACCATTCCAGCTAACATGGCCTCTCTAAGATAGCAGTTATCCACAATGTGTAGTAATTAGGCAACATCCTTCTTACCGCTGACTCACAGCCAATAAAGGTATCTGAAGTACTCCATTTTTAGGCACTTAATCAGTCTTATTTAGATGGGACAAACAGCTTTTGTTAAATATGAGTTTCTAACCCCTCTCCCCTTGGATTTGTCTTGATATGTTTGGAGTATTGTCACAATGCGTAAGAGAAGAAAACGTGTCCATCTTGAAGAGGCTCTATACACATTTCTATTGGCTTGTCTTTATTCTTATTTTGGACCTTGGTCTATCACTCACACAGTAGTTTCTACAAGATATACTGGAAGTTGTCTTCTAAATCCACCAAAAGGATTAGCAATCTTAGGTGACATGCCAGTTATCGAGGAAGGTGTTAAGGTGATCCACCCTTCTGCCAAGAGGAGCACAGCATTGGCACTTCTTCTTGTATGTGTGGCATCAGCCTGTTCTTTCACATTTTACCTGTTAACTTTCCTCTACAAGCTCAAACATTTCCAGACTCCTAAAGCAAAACCTGGAAAAACAGAAGGTTTGTCGTTTGGATTGAAAACTTCCCCAACCAGTCCTTCCATCCCCTAACAACGTTGCTAATTAAGGTTGGCCAATCTTCCTGAGCAAAGGCTGAGTTCTAACCTCTCTTCCTCTCTGGGGCACCAAGTAGAGCTGCTTCATCAATAACAATGATTTAACTTATGTAGGCCCTACACCAGCAGGCTGGTGACCTGCTAGATTTCACTGCTGTGTTAGCAGTACTAAGGTTAACCAGACATGGAAGTACATCAGTGCAGCAATTGTACTGGACCATATGGTGTTCCATAGAGCACAGTTTTGTCTTTGCTGCAACCTTCCCTAAGGGCAACAAGCTCTGTACAGAAGATGAAATAATCAGATCCCAGAGTAAGAGGTTGAAATAGTGTTTTGGCCTCATGAGGGCAAGGAGCTCAACTTATTTATGGGAACTTGGAGTTGTGCCACTGCCTTTACACACTAAGAGGAGAGCTTTTGGCAACTGATAAAGAAGGCCACAGGTCAAAGCTTTACAGGAATACTGGATTGGGAGAAGACTTCAGGGTAGATCTCGAATATGGTTCAGAGGTCACTGAGCTGCTTCTTTGACTTTAACCCAATAGGTAATGGTTTGATTGTTATTTAAAAGCAGTGTTGGTAATTTTCGGAAACTAGCATGATTTTAAAAGAAGCATTCCCCCAGTGATCCGTCTACACCCCTCCCATCCCCTCTGTACTCCCTATAAAACCACAGACCTCACTTATCAGACCTCAGCTCAACGCTTACATTGTGTAGAAACTAAATCGAGCAGACATTGGTCAAAGTTTTAACATGCTTACAACTGCTACAGTTGACAGATTTTCTTCGTTCCTTTTTCAGAGAACATGAATTGTTAATTTCTGTCAGGACCTGAAGACAATTTCAACCAAAATCATAAAAAGTGTATCTGGAGAAAAGTACCAACCCTTCCTTTAATAATAAGAAGGCGTTCCAATGACGACTGTGACCTGGTGCTACATCAATAAAAGCAAATATTTCTCTTCCCATGAGAACTAAGATGCTATACATCACTGACAAGCTCAGTACAGAAACAAATCAAACTTATATAGGTATAGGTTCCATAAACATGACAGTAACTAGACCACTTTCACTTGCAGCTTGACAATGAAAAAGTAGCTGACAAGAGCCTTCAACTGTGATATTGGCTTCCCTTGGTACACTGCAGTTTCAGTGTATTTTCCTCTAGTTATCTCACTCACTGCAGCGCACAAAAAATAGACCAATTATAATCATGTTGAATGCAGATCATAGTGCAGATTGGTCATTGTAGAATACGAGGCCAGCGTAAACGCAGGCATCTTACCCAACAATGTTCTGCAGATCAATGCTGCTCTGAAATCTCTTTAATAATAGTCAAAAGTACTTGACACCGGTTCATGCTCATTTCAAATTGCCTGAGTAAAGTGTGATAGTCGTCACTGTTGTCAGAGAGTCAGAGAGTAGTGTAATGGCGCCCTCTCACCTCATACTCCTGCTTGAAGCCGTAACCCTCAGCGGTCTTCATCTGGTTGATGTGCTGGAGAAGGTCAGCCACTCGCACGGCAGGGTGAAGCTGTCCTGTGTGGTAGGGCGAGCCTTTACGTCCACACTGGTGCCTTGGGGAGCCTCCCAGCAGGCTGCTGGCCTCATTCACTGAACTACGAGCGTCACCTGCACCACACATGGACAAATGAGTGATTTCTGAATGACTCAGGCTGAAAAATTGAATGTGAAAGAAACGAAAAGAAACTTGACTTAATTGTATATTGAAAGATCTATATAAAAATGTAATTATCACCAGGTGAACGGAACATTAAATGGAAGGGAAAGCTTTCATTGAAGTCTGAAAAGACTCCAGGTCATTTGCGATGTGAGAGTTTAAATTAAATGTGTTTTCTTGTTTCACAGGGGTTTTTTTGGCGCAGATTTGACAAGATTTTGCAGATACATCATCTAAATTAGCTGGTTCTCCTTTTTCGTTTGACTGAAAGCAGAACTGTTTTAAAGGTGAAGTGAAGTTACATTTGGATTAGATACCAGTGCAGATGCCTTTGTGTCCATCTGAAAATTAGTTGGGGTAAGGTGACTTCACGTGCTGTTATGGCAGTTGGCTTGTTTTTACCGCGCTAATTCATTTTTTTGGTTACCACGACAGCCCTGTTATAAGCTTTAAAATCAATCCACCTGAAGTGTTTACCCATAAGGGTCATGAGCTTTTAAACCAGGCTAAAAAAACATGTTTGTTTCTTTAAAAACTGGCCATTTTGAATGAGTGTGCATGTGACTTCTGCAGCCAGCCTCATTCAGAAACTCGATGAACTACAGGATTTTGCACTTCTGCACTGGCTTAATTTTTGCTACTTCACACTGACACATACGGCAAAGTAAATGCTACGTTGATAACGTTTATCTGGGCAAAAAGTCTTCATTACAGATCTTACATAGACTTGACAGCAGCCCTGTCTCGGTTGACAAGTGAAGCAGACCAAGATCAGTACCAACTTTAGAGTAAACACATCTGTCTTTCCTTCTCAGTGAGACTGACAACGGAAGAAGAGAGATCAAGATAAAATAAAGTCACATATCATCTCTTGATTCATTCAAATATGTTACCTCACTTGTGCAACTCTCACTATTTTGCCATCTTGATAGATTCAGTGAACAGCTGAGAGTAAGTCAAAGCACAGACTGTTTATTTTTCGTACAGCATGATAACCATTTTCCAGAATTATTCAGATTTATATGGAGTGAATGAGTGACAGTCAGCAATACTACAATGTAAGCGAGTTGTGGAGGGTTCGTGTGCACTGTACTGTATGTGTAATTCTTAGTGCATTTGTCTTACTTCGTGTGCCACAGGTGTGAGCATCCATGAAGGAAAGAGCCATTCTTTCATCCTCCTGTAGGGTGCTCTGGTCTGTGAAACTGCGCTCCATGGAGCCCAAATGGCTCTTCTCCTGCCGATAGGTAATGGGTGTCTTATTCATGTTCACTTGTTTCCTTTAGGTGGATAAAGAAGATGGAAGAAGGGGATTGCAGTGAAGGATGGATTGTAAAAGACAGATAGAGAGAAAGAACAAGAGAAGAAAACTGTCATTTGTGGTAAAGAGGTAAATATTGAGTGATAAAGTGAATAAATAGTTTGAAAGGAGACCAACTGCTTCACGTCTTCCTTCATAAACTTATGATTGACAGCCAAAGCACGGCATGTATATGATGGATCACAGATCGATGGAAAAGCAAAGTCACTTACGGATAATAAGAGTAGTAGTCCCTTCTGGCAAGAGTGCAGGAGAGGGAGAAAACAAAAAAGTCAAGAGAAAGAAGAGATGTAAGATGAAAGCAATGTCAGCTGAGCGCAGAATGCATTGATCACAGTGAAAATGAGACGCATCCTCCTATGTGCTCGCCTGTGCAGGCGGCCACATGACACGTGCGTTTTACCGAGCAGCTGCTGGCAGACCAAACCAAAGAGAGGTAGAAGAAGAAGAAGAAGAAAAAAAACCTTCTCTGTCTATTAAATATCTCAATGCAACACTTCAAGGACTGGACCACTGGGTTTGTCACAGCAAATGTATCAATCGATTCTCTCAGAGTGATCTTCATGGTGGCTTAGCCGTGGAACTCTGGCTACTGTGCAGAGAAGGTGGAGACCCTTGAAATCAACATTATTCAATATAAGCCTTGATCCTGTGTCAGCCTTTTAATATTGATTGCAGGGGCCCTGAGAAACTTCCCATTTGACATGGCAGGTTCTTTAGATTAAAATAAATCTCACCTAAGTAGAGCAGGTATAGCCCTATTTGAGACTTAAACTCCGGCTGCTAAATAACTGCCGAGCCAGAGAGGTAGATGATCTCCAGAAGACCTGTGGGATCATTGGCTAATAATCTCTAAAAGCACACCTTTTCCCTCCCAATTAGCATCTTATTTAAGGGTCAGGTCTCTGCTCAGTGTGCGTAATTAAGTGGTTAATTGAATTCCATCCGCCTCTAATTAAATACTTCACAGTCAGATGGGCTCTGCAGATGAGAGTTGTTTTGTCCCTCTGGTGAATCATGAGGGAATGAATACAATGCAGCTCTGGCTGTCTGTCCAGCTTCTCCCCTAAACAAGCGTGACCTTTTCCAAAAGTTTAGCAAGCATAAAAAACTGATTACTGAACTGTTTGGAACAAAACATACAGAGAAAAACAATGTGGAAGATGTGGTGGGTTTGTGCATAATGAGGCATGTTTTGTGCTCCATGTTTATCAGCAGACGTTTACCCTTTCTTAATGATGATGATGACGGCACCCAGCAGGAGGATGAGGACTATCAGTCCGCCGGCACACACCCCGAGAATCAGACCCATCTCCTCAGAGTGTTGGGACACCTCCAGAGCCTTACGGTGATCTTTGCAGGCCGCTGGAAACAAACAGCAAATACACATTTTAACAAAATGCTGAACATAGAGGATTGAGGTGTCAAAGAAATGATTCACAGGAAAGTTCACTTAAAAGTTTGTAATAAACCAGCTTAATCATGGAAACTTATTTGCTAAAACCGACGAGTCATGTACCAAGCACATTGTTCTTCAATCTGTTGTTAATCTTAAAACTTTGAATGACTTTTCAGCGTTAATTTGACATTTTGGGACATTGTTACAACACGTTTTTGGTGCTTCATAACAAGCCTCTAAACGTTAAAGGTCCTTTTTATTCCATAGTGAATAAAATACAGAATTTTCAGTCACAAGTCGTCCACATAGCCCTGCAGTATAATCTCAAGGTGCCCCTGTGTCTGTGAGCTGCTGGAGAGGTCGTTATCATAATAGCAGGGTATTCATTTCTCTGGCATAAAGCTTCATACTTATGTAAATGGTGCTGAGCAGCAGGCCTTTCTTTGTCTTGTTGCAGGGGGGCAACTGATCTAGTTTTTTCTTGTATGTGTGTGTGTGTGTGTGTGTGTGTGTGTCACCCTGTCCTCCAGGCTCTCACAGCCCTGAAACTAGCCCCTCTGAGCCTGTTGGAACAGCACAAGCTATCTGCGCAGCAGCAGAAAGTCAGAGCAGGCCTGAGGATAGTGCTCCGTTTTATAGCCTGCTTGGCTTACAGGGGAAATGAAAAAAACATGTTTTAGCCCAAATATCTGAAGCCTTAAGAACCCTCATCCCAAAAATGCTGGAAAGTATGACCATATATTTTTTTTAATCTTTCAGTAGGATTGTTATCAATTATGTTTGGCAAATTTGAATTAAGAAAATCATTTATTGTCTTGATATTAGAAACAAAGTCTTTCTTTTAAAACTACTCTGAAAATTGCTTTTTACGTCTCTTACTCCACAACATGCACTGAAAGTGTGACAGGGGCAGCTGAGGCTCAGCAGTAGATAATAAGATAAGATATGATATACTTTATTGTCCCCAAAGAGTCAGTCATCTCTAAAGTGGAAGGTCGGGGGTTCAATCCCCAGCTCCTGCAGTCATGTCCAAACTGCTCCCGCTGCTACGTCAGCAGCGTGTGAATGTGTATGAATGGATAAGTTAATATACGGATGGACACTTAATATAGCAGACTGTCAGCAGTGTGAGGTAGGTATGACCTGCAGTTTTAAAAAAGTGCTTTGAGTAGTCAGAAGACTAGAAAAGCTCTTTACAAGTTCAAGGCCATTTACATTTCTGTGTGGGCTGTTCAGAGTAAATCATCTGATAAACACATACTTTACTTTGCAGGAGTGCTATGAGTGGGTTATTCAGGCTGAATCAACATTATTCCATGTTGTTTTGTTCTCGCACGCACGCACGCACGCACGCACGCACACACGCACACACACACACCAGCATAAAGGATGCATTTGTGTATGTGAGAAACTTTGAACAGGAACCATCAGAGATTTCATCCTGTCTCAAGCTGCTCCATTCAAATTCTTTTTAAAAACAACCACAATTCGTCTCTGCAGTTCCTTTCATGCTGCGACTGCATTTTTAATCTCATGAACACATGAATTACAGGATGCATTTTTCATCGACTGTAAATGTAGATGACGAGGTGAGAAATCAATTTAACTTTTTTGACATTTTTGGACAGACAAGGCGGTTTTGCCACATTTAGCCTGGAATTTTCTATTAAGCCAAACATGAGCATGAAATAGATTTCCACATGAATCCATGCACCTGCCAGCTGCCCAATGCTGGAAATTGGCACTTAGAAGAGAAATGGAAGTCTATTGTAGTGTTGAGCCTGCCAGAGGATCCTTAATTAAACTGTCACCTGGAAGTTGAAATGTAATCTCCAGCTTTGTTATCCAAGCCAGAATCATTTGCCTCCACTTTGCTTGTGATGGGCTGCTTGATAATAACGGCTTAGGAGCTGATGATGCAGGGACTACTATGAAGGTAGAGGGATCACTGGGATTGCAAAAAAACATCTGACCTGTCGCACCTTGAAATTGGAAATCACCCTGAGAATGTCTGTCCTATCAAGTTAGCCTCTCAGGATTTTTTTCCAGTTACATCATCATTCATGTGAATGATGTAATGCGTGGACTTTTACAAATCATTACCTTCCTTTTTGGCCTTTCCTCTCCTTCGTTTTTTTTTTTTATCTTCTCTTACCTTCAGGTCTCCTCTTTCTTCCTATTCCTATTGTTAATATCTTGCTTTTCTACTTATCAAAATTAATCTATTTTGACTTTTAGAGCTCCATTGTGCATTTCCCTCCGTCTTTCTGTGTAGAAGAAAAGAGGCGAGCACAGTGGAAAGCCCATCGCTGTGAGAAAGCATAATTAATCAATGCCCAGGCAGGTGTCTGTGTGGGGCAGATGGAGTGAGACGCTCAGCTGAAAAGGCTGGCCTTGCCTTTCGGCGTTATGCCTGAGGAGTGCCTCATCTCTTTTTCGTTTTCTCTTCTCGGCTCACAAAAAGAGGTCTTCACTTTAAAAAAGCATCCCCTCCTAGACCCTTTTATTTGCAAGGCTCTGCTAACTGTGGCGGTGCTTTGAAAACTATGAATACATGACTTTTATTCACTTAGATCTGACACTGGACTATGGCAGAGAGGCTCTCCTGTCATAAGCATTTAGAGTCAATTTTCCATGCCCTTTTCATGTGCCTTTGAATCCAGGAGATGCAGAAAGGAGAGGGGGAGAAAATGGGTGGGGTGCAGCAAGGGTTTCTCATAGTGATAGGCCAAGGTAGCTCCATCTGGAAGTTTTGAACATGAGGACCCTTCTGGACCGGGCTGAGGTCAAAGTCTTCAGATGTAGCCATCTATTGTGCTGCTGATCAGAACAAAGAGACTGCCTTTGATTCACTGTGTCCCAGCGCCTGCTCCCAAACAAACAGGATGAAAGGCTGACCTCTAATCCCTCCCTGCCGGTTGCCCTTTTCTCAGAGTCCCACCGCTAAACAACCAGCCCCAACCATCAGAGGAAATTTGTCCAGATCTCCACCTTTGTACTTTACAGAGAGGTGACAAACGCTGCAGTATTGATCAAACTAAACAATACTACTATTAGATTCCCTCGTGTGTTGTCTTATAAGAGAAAAGCAGAAACACTCAAAAAACGATCCAATCCAGGAAAATCATTCAAGGTCACATTGTTTGTGTGAGGGCGGGGAAAAAAATCATGTTTAAATACCTTTGCGAGCAATGCGGATGCAATTTATTCTGGATTCCTGAAAGAGAAAGAAAACAGGCGTCAGATGGGAGGGTGTCACTTTGAATTCTGCATAAAAAAGAGATGGGATAAATTAAAAGAGGATGACGTGAATCACTGTGCTGAGTAACACACAGATATATATCACAATGGAAATAAGACCATGGCAGATAAAAATACCTCCTGAATGAACATTAAATCATGTTAAGTCCCCCATACAAAGAGAGGTAACATTTCAAGTGAGTGCTGTCTCCCATGTCTACTGTTTCTATTCTGTGAATAAATATTCAAATACACTAAACATGAGTGGGTTGCATTACTCTTCTCTAAATAGCATCGCTTATTTTATAATAGAGCCACAGATAAACTGAAGTAGAAACGATTCAGACTGAAATGACAAACTGACACAAAGTTAAGAGTCCTATTGACGATACGATATCAGAAATCTGAAAGCTGCAGAGGACAGTTTGGAAAATTCTTGCTGAAGGAGAAGAGATGAGAGATTAAAAGCGAGTGTGCATAATTAAGAGGAGGGTTTCAGACCAGTGCACCGCTATGAAAAGGAATTAATTTTATTTAAATTTCAGCTGATGACATCTCAGTGTTATGAAAAGGACCTTTGTCAAACAGGACTAATGAGATCCAGGAGTGTAATCGAATTCCATCCTGCCACCTCTTGGAGGAGATGCATTATCAAATTAAGATTTACAGATGCTAATTCAGGCATTATGGGGCAATTATGCTAATTCCCCTGTTCGGAAATGAGCAAAAAGTGCTTTCCTCAAACTCCAGTGAAATTGGTTTAGTTAAAATTTGAAAATCCATTTCAAGCAGACAGCCACTTTAACAAGCTCTTAACCCAATAGTTTAATCTGAAAACACAGAGCCAGACTGTAGACAAACATGTTGTCTGTCAGACAGACTGTCGTTTCATTTCCATAAACCAACCGCACAGGCTTGGAGAATGACAGAACGTATGTTTACCCTCTGCAAAAGGTATTATATCCTTTCAGCTGTGTTTTTGTCCTACTTCCATTTAGCAGCCAATCAAATAAGCCTAAATTATGGATGTATTCCGCATAGTCGCTTTCTGAAACAACGTGGGCTTTCTCGACTCCAATAGTTACTGAGATGTTGCAGTTATTTTTAAAAATGACAAGACCCTGCACTGCGTGTTTACAAGGAGCTGTCTATTGCATGCTTTTATTGCTGCTCTTGAACAATTGATCTGAATGGCTTTTCATTAGCTATTCATCTTCATTAATAATCAATAGCTACATTGTTTTAAAGTTCAACCTTGGTTACTTTCTTCTTCTTTCTGTGTTTTCTTTCTAACGCTGACGGGTGACTTTGAGCTGACTCAATTATAAGAAATATTTTCCATCAAAAAAAGGCTGATTCATCCGAAACCAACCTCTGTTACAGAAACAGCACTTGAAGGCGTCCTCTCCATTCAATCATTACAAGCTTTGGTTAATGAAAAGAGGGTACATGCACATCCATTATAGTAAGGACAAGTAGGTTAAATAGGATGGATAGAAGTCCATTCTGCAACATGCACATCTTATTCATTGTGTGCAGGCTCCGCTGAAGAGTTAGTTGATGTGCTCACTATCATGGGACTCACATCACACATCTGGCTGTGCTGTAACAGTCACCCCAGAGGGGCTGCTGCTTCCTGGAAACTCTCAACACAAAACACTAACGCCAGCATGCAACATGAGGCTCCACGGCACACACTCGGGCTTTTAAAAGTGTGTGTGTGAAGTTGGTAGATATAAAGAGTAGATGTTGTAAATCATTATTTTATGGCCTAAAGAGCCACAGTGTGCTTCAACAGTCTTTCATGTACCTCTTTAGATGAATCAATCAAAACAATTAGAGAGGCTTGACAGCCACTCTGCAGATAATGAGCATGGGGAAATGCCAAATAATATGGGTGTCTCTTACTGTTTAAACTATTCCCATGGCTGCCACTGTACCCCCTCTACAAAGACATTCAACACAAACATAAAAAGACCACACAACAAACCCTCATTTAATGCACAGAACAATTAAAAAAAAGTGATAAAATAGGTAAGCTGGCAATTGTGTTTGTATTTCAATAAGGTGTTCAGTATGCAAACATCATCTGTAGCCCACTTTGTCTGTCCTTCTATAGGCAGTAACCATTATCGGCATTTGTTCTATCTGCATGAATGTGCAACTCTTCTCTGATGTTTCGCTCTAAAGGGAGAACTGATTTCAGTGCCAGCTACCCTTTTAGTACAAATGTAGGTACCTTGTTTTTTTCCCCCCTCTTCCAAAATGAGTCGGCACCAGATGATTACGTTTCTGTTGTTTGTACACAGTCCAAGAACTACCATAAAAATATCCCATTGTACATGAATTTTACATTTTTTCGGTCTTCTGTGCAAACACACATTTACAATGCAAAAATTCTCTTTTTGACTCACAATTTTGTGGCAGTGAGCAGAGTGCTAAAATGCAAAAAAAAAAAGGCCTGAAAGGCATAATTGCACATAGAGAAGCAAGAAGAAAAATTACAAACGGAAAATCCAAATAGGCACAAAATACATTTTGCAAAACTGAACCTTTGTGGAGCATAAAGGCTGCAGGAACTGAACCCTAACATCAGCTTTGTGGTTTTAATAGATGCTCTCATTTACACTTGGATGTGACGGCTGTGAAAAGACTGTAAAACGCAAATGTAAATGACGGTTATATTGATACTAACATCAACAAGGCATTAGTGCTGTTTTGTTAGTGCTGAAATTAAAGCTGTTATGCTCTTTTATTTGATCTTTCTTAATGTAGTTAGCACTTTCTCAGCTTCAGGCCTCATGTGTGCATACATGTTGCTGTAGTCCTGCTGTGGCATGTCGTCTGTGCCCTGCTGTCGACTGGTTTCATGCCCAGATACTTGCCACCCCTCAACTGTGCGGAACTGATTAAATCCTGAAAAAAAATCAAAAAAAAAAAAAAAAAAAGACTTCTGGCAAAATATAAACAGGAAACACTCCAAGAAAGAATTTGCCTCCACAAAGGTCTGAAGTCTGAAACACTGACACCAAAACAAAAGGTGAGTCTGATAAGAGTTTGCATCATTGAACAGTTGTTGTCCAGAGAAAGCTATGAAAATGTTGTTCCTGTCCTCACATCACAGTGTTTCTTTAGGAGTCGTGCCGCACCGACACAGAACTCCAGACCAGAATTCAACAGTGACTGCGACTGTATTTCCAGGCAAAAGTAGCGGGGGGGTTCAAAGACTGGAAGACAGTACTGGCTGTGGGATTTGGCACTGTGCTCCACTCATTGTAGGTCATGGGTGCTGGCCCCCTGCCAGGCAAAACAAAACCTAATCCCATCCGCCGGTAAAGCCAGGCCTCCCCTGTTTAATCCCGTGCTTAGTAGCCTGGTTTGTGTAGAGTGCTCACACTGCAGTACCTCTGTGTGTTTCTCCACTGGGTCGGAAAAAGATGCTACTGGTGGGGATGAAACACCCAGCTCTGTTCATGGGGCTTTAAAAGACATGATCACAACGTAACCACCAACAGGACTCCTAAAGTCAAACCGAACAGTAGCTCAGCTTGCAGGTATTTATTCACAGAAGGCTGCATTACCTACAGCAACACGTCTGAGCCATGTTGCCACAAGTGTGTGAATATTAAAGCAGCAGCTTTCTGCCTCTGATCATCTGCACCTGTGCCCAATTATCCCTAAGTAATTGCCTCACCCAGGTAGCGGCTCTTCCTGTAATGGAATTTGGAGAGGTAATGTGATGTCCACTGGGTACGACTGGAGACTGGAGACCTTTGTGTGCTCGTTGAAATAGATGGAAATACAAGAGTGAAATACCATCCTGATCCTCCACTAACAAGGTTTCATAAGGGTTTTGTTAAATGGACAAAAACGCAGACATCTATTTCATAAAGCCAGGTTACCTTGGACTCCCCTTGAACACGGCTTTTCAAAGATATTCAAGAGTCGAGGTTGATCAAAGAGTTAGGGGGGTGTATAAGGACAACAATAAAATGACTATTGTATGAAGACATGAAGCTACAGGACAAAGAAGAAAGGAATAGGAGGGAAAAGGAGAAAGTGTCAGATGAATGAAGTGAAGTACTTTATCAACTCTGAGTAATTCCTGCTAATCATGGCTTTGTTAAAAGTAAGTAAAGAACACAACTAATTCCCTGCTTCAGACATGCTTTTGTTTGCAAAGAATCAAAGAGGTCGGATATAAGCATACATCAATTGTAAGTTTTACCAGCTAAATATGTGTTCATCCAACAAACTCTCAATCCACACAAATACCCTTTCAAGGGTTTTGGGCCCAGACAATGCCAACTGTCCTACAGCGTCAACCGCAGCATTAGTGAATACAAATACTAATTAACAGCCCTCATCGCTGGCTCAGAATTATTCTGAGCACTAATGTCTACATTAGTCAGTGAAGGGTTGCCAGATTTGCGGCACCACTGGTGGGATTTTGAAAACACTCACCCCTCTGAAGTTGCTCATAGCCTGGAAGTAGACAAGGTAGCTTTTCCGAGGGTCCAGAGGGCTGTTCCAGTAGCCGTTGTAAGTGATGTTGTCGCCCACGGTGAAGGGACTGGCCTCGGGGAGGCTGCTGGGTGGCAGCTCGGCCGTGTAATAGTGCGGAGTGCCTCGAGCCTGCGCATCACCGTGAGACAGTGGCAGTGGGAAACACTCCTGAAGCCCCAGCTCTCTCTTCACTTTCTTCCCTGTCTCCTCTTCAACCACCACCTGGTATGTACTGGACACAAGGTGGAGATGCGCCTTTAATAAACAGAATTTGTTTTTTAAAAAGAAACCGAATATATACATTAAAGGATGATTTGCTCACCTGACGGGTGCCCCTCTGCCCTGGGCAGGGCGAAGCAGCACAGTAATGGTGCTCTCTGTCTCACTCAGGGGGGAAGGCATGTCTCCATAATCAAATGTGGGAGCTAAGAACACATGGCAACACACTTAAACGTCAATCATAATGATGGTTGAACACAGATTGCCTTACATTGCGTTCAAATAGCATGGTTAAAACAAAGAGTCCAGCTCGTTTTCTGCATGTTCATCCCCTCATAGTCTCGTATACTATCAGCTTTTAGAGCCATACCTTTTTTTTGCATAATTGGCTAAAGTGCTACTATAGCCAAAACCATGAACCTCATATTAAGGACACTGTTTCGAATTTCACTTCCAGTTGTCTTTGCTACAAGTCCAATTAAAAGTCATTGGTGTGAGGCTAAATTAAGTGGGCTTCTCATTTGAAAGAATCTGGCTTATGTCCTGCTCCTCCTGGCAAAGATGTGCCGGCACATTTCCCTTGAATATTAGCTGCCAATTAGTGAGTGGAAAGAGAGCAAACTATTCAGGTGCAATCACTGATTATCATCTGAAAAAGTAGTTTGCTAATATGTTAGCATATACGAGCCAACATCATTAAGAAAGCACTGCTCGTGCCTTTGTTGACATTAAAGGTCTGTTGTGGTTTGTACAACTAAATGAAGGTTTGACGCCTGCTGCCAGATAGAGTCTCTTTGAAGGATGGGTGTCTATTAGCAACAGCAGTGCGCATGCCTTGGAGTATGTGTGAGTGTGCGAATGAGGGAATGTGTGTAGCTGGAGACTCTGCGGTGGGTATTGCTCGGAGACGCTGACAGTAGTAGCTGTTGAAGGTGTTCAGTGTTTGCTAGCTGTCAGAGCAGATTTGAGAGACGCTCAGTGTAAGTGAATGTTCTGCACCGTGGGCCAGTGGAGGAGGTTGAGGATGATCTGCAAAGACTTTTGGACTCTATCTGCGGTCTGGCTCTCTGCCAGTACTCTGCCTGTCGCACAGCCAGTAAGCAGTGATTGTGCACTAAATCTATAATTAAACAAAACTGGAATCTCTGTAAAGACATACGTAGGCAGGAGGAGGAAGACGGAGTTAATCTGTGAGCGGGACAGTGGTGGGATTGGTCGTGTTATGGGTTCCTACAAGGCGTAATCCAGTACCTCAACAGGATCAAATGCATTATTAAAAGAAAGCAGAAACACCAAAGCTGTATATCTATTGTCAGTAATAAGCTCTGAGACTCTCTGAGGTGACTTTCTGGTCCCTGGAATGTACTGCATCCTTCTTAACACAAAAAAAAAAAAAAACACAGCAGTGTCCCCTCTGTGGTGTTTCTTTGCTTCCCTCCCTGTGACTTAATTTATGTCTCGAGGACTGCGAGATGACAGTGTGTCAGGAGTTTGGAGAGGCAACAGAAAATAGCTTTTACACTGGGGGGAGCAGTAGTTTTGCCTTTGGAGAGAGGAAAAGATGCTGAGGTCAAAAGAGAGGAAAGTTGGATCCTCATTATAGCACTCAGTGGGTGAAGTCTGGTGTTTGTGACGGCATAGAGAGCAGGTTCTTCATGAACAGGCTTTCTGTCTCTGTACATTTTATCTACAATTTGAGCTTCAGGAGTCATAATACCTGAGATGTTGGTGGTAATTTCCGTGAGGGCCGTCTGGCCAAAGCCCTTAGCCGTACGGGCTCGGACGGAGATCAGGTAAGTAGTTCCAGGGTGCAGGTTGGAGAACATGTGGTAGGTCTCGTTCTTCAGCTTCGACACGGTTCTTCTCGGGCCTGGGACGTTGATACCTGGATCAGATGACTCGATACTCTGGTAACTGATCTGGTTTGGGGACATAAAAAATAGCAAGATGGTCTCAGGGTAATAAACGATGAGCTAGAGTCACATTAGCACTGATTTTATGATTCATTATTGTGACATCTAGCAGATTTCAAGTGATTTATTAAGTTTTATTCTGATCGAAAGAGGTCATTAAGTCAGAAAACGAATGGCTCAGTCATAATTAGTTATGCTCAGGTTTGATTGATATAATAAACGTAGAAAGAAATGAATTTGCCTCTCTAAATCAGTGCGCTGTTTCGCATGTGCGAGTATGAATTTAGATGAATAGGACTTGATTGGCATAGGCACTGTTAATTCAAGGTCACAGAGGGAGCCTGGAGTTTTTTTTCTTTAAAGTATGAGGAGCGCTAAATGGTTTTCTGACTTCGTAATGCATTATGAAGGCCATGGACAGAAGACGCCTCATATTGAAAAGTGTTTAAAAGTTGCATTAATGTTCATTAACACTCAAAAAACTGATGAGCAAAAGTGTCCTTTAAAAGTGAAAGTGAGTTTTTCCTCAAGAGGTGATTTGCCTCGCCAGCACAGCACTCTCCCAAGGATTTCCACTTGTTCTCTTTAGAATGGTGGAGAGCTAAATGAGGTGACCTTACTGCAATCAGACAAGGGTGAGCATATTAGGATATGCATTAAAGCTGTAAGAGATCCACTTTACTGAAGGAGTGAACACAAACCCATAAGCTATAATGAATGTGCACAGCACGCACACAACAAAGATGCCACTCAAGCCAAAGCAAAGGCTTGGCTGATTATCATAAGACGGGCTTAATGTGTGCTCATGCCTCCTTAGTGGGAAGATAGAATTATGTGCCATCCTGTTAACTAAACACAGACGGACCTCTGCGTTTCCTCCACAAAGGCAGACATAAAAGATGTCCAACAGAGCACTGAGCTGTGAGGAGGGCTTGCAGGACAGCATGGCGGCTGATGGGCTCAGGCAGTGTGGTCAACGGTTTAATCTGAGAGAAATGAAGGGGATTTCTACAGCTCTGTATACAGCTTTCTCCGTCAGCCAAGGGAGATCAACACAGAGAAAAAAATCCTGTGCAGGCTTCACTTTATATGTCAAACCGCAAATCCTTTTTAATAATATCCTTGAGAGGACATTGCTAGAGAGGCCAAAGAAAGAAGGCTCAAGGATAGGTGGGCAGGTCCACTGACAGTTTAGCACAGGCTGAGGGTATCCAGTACATTCATTATCCTGTTAAACATGAGGCCTACAGCATGACATGGAGTTCTGCATTAATGACACAGGGCTCTGTTTTAATGGCACAAACCAGCGTTGCGGCTAGGCCATGTGCATGAGGTCATGAGAGCGATCCAAGCATGTAGGCAAAGCCCGCCATGCGTAAAAGGTTGGGTGAAGAAGAATGTAAATTGGACATAAGTGGTTTGGGGATTGAGCACATCTCCGTGTCTTACCAGCAGCAGTGACCCTCAAGGGAAAATGCTCATGTAATAGAGAGGAAAGTATTTCTGCACTGGGCATGGAAATATCAAAAGTGCAGGCACATATCCCTTTCACCAAGAAAGAACTCAAAATGTTAAGAGATGCTTGATAATGTCTTCATGTTACTATCAATTCTATTACTACTGGGCAATATGGCTATGTGCCTTATCAATATTAAAATCAAGAGTCATGGTGTGAAGAAAAAAAAGCTCCCTGTAATTTAATACTAAACCCAAATTCTCTGACATAAGAACGAGACCACGAGGTCCGTAAAGCAGCTGTCCTGGAGCTTAGTGTCTTATCACTGATGATGGTCTCTATATATTAAAAGTTGAGCCTCTCTCAGGCGAATCGCAAATGCTTATCTTATACAGTGGTTCAATGTTTAATCGAGCCTTTATTGTTACAACAATATGGCTCCTGCTTCATAAGCCATCAGAAAAATGATCTGCGTAAGTGGAAGTTCACATAATGTTGAAAAAAAGTGTTGGTTTTTTATATCACACCACAAGTCTAAGTATACGCTGAACTAGAAGCTATATTCATTGAGTGTTGGACTCAGCTTCTGTGTCATTACCACCCTTGACCATATGTCACTTGTTTCGCAAATTGAAGGTTTAAGGCATAAGCATTTAAAAGTGGTCTGCTGTTGCCAGGCTAGGCACACAAAGAAAGAGAAGCATTAGCTTAATACACAATTTGGGGTATTTTTCTGTTTTGCATGAGCATGCAAACTGCAATTAGCTTAAACTAATGTTAGCCTAAACTGAAGTTAGCCTATACTTTCTTCAGCCTTAGCAAACATTATCCTGAATGAACTTTTTCTGTGTATTTGTTATTGGATTATTGAAAGGTGAAGACACAGATTGAGTTAGCAATCAGTCCTTATCCTACAAGTTTTTTTTTCTTTTGTAATTTACGTATATAAGCAATAAAGCCTGCATGTAACTTTACATGCTTTTTAACAATTGGGTGTTTAGTGTCAACCTTTTAGCTTACCTCATATTGTGTAATGAGGCCATTGGGCTCAACGGGCTCCTCCCATTTCAGGAAGATCATGTCATCCAGCGGGGTGAAGGTGAGTGACTCTGGTGCAATGCCTCCGGGAACTATAAGAAATTGTCAGAACAAACATTTGTAGGCAAAATTGAAGTACTAATCCCCCAGCGAGCCTCGCCTGTCAACATCACAGAAGTGAATGTCACAGCGGCTCAGAACAATGCAGCACATGAGACACACAGCGAGCGACAGAGAGAGAGAGAGAGAGAACATCAGATAAGGGCACAGTTAATTCATGAACTGCATCTCTTATGTAACCACGACACAAAAGAGAAAGAAAAATAGAAAGAATATTAAAATTTCATATCAATCTTCGGTGAAAGTTGAAAATATATTAATGAGTTTGTCAGACACTTGCTAGTAAACTTGTTTTTTGGAGTGGCAGTGAACGTACCGTGAACGCCTGAACGTTCAATGTCTGAATGTGTGAACTGATTTTTGGGCTGTTCTGTTGCAGCCTCAGTCCCTATGGTCTGTGTGAGCGCTGTACAGATAAAGACTGCTGTGAGATTCAGGCCTGAGGCTAAAGCAAGCAAGCCGAACAGCTGAGTCGACTGATATTTTTGAATTGAGTCAGTATCGAGGACAGAGCTGCTTATTAAGGCTTTTGGATGAAGTACTGATAATTGCTGTGCACTGTATCTATAGCTACATTTATCTTCAATACAAAAACTTTCTTCATCTTTTTTTTCTCTCTCTCTATATATATATTTCACTTTATTGTAAATCTTGTTTGTTTTGATTTTTTTGGGGGGAGAATTGATTTCTCCCTCGGCCGGCATGCAGACGAAGAGATACAGCACAAAGAAATCCTCGGAGATAAGACGTAAGCACAAAATCCTTTCTCGGGGTTGCCAGAGTGTTAGATATAATGTTTTTCTTTTATGTAACTTTCATCAGAAAATGAAGGGGATCATTTGAAAAAACGGATTGAGCCTCAGTCGGATGGTTAACCTTTCTGAAAGCGTATGTAAGAGAAGGACTGAGGAGCCGGAGGAAGCATTTCAAGTGTGTTGAATTTAAAGAAAATGCAAAACAAAGCCTGTAAAAGATGATAAAGTTAAGTTTATTAGACAGTGTTTTGAGATGTGTTGATTTAACATTATGATACATTTTGAGGATGTAGTTTGTTTTATTTATTTTTTTATTTGCATTGAATTATTGTGTTTCTAAGCATGTGTCTACTCCATTTTCATCCTTGAGGCTGTGCATCATAAACTAAGAGTTGAATGTTTACTTACAGTTTATATTTCTCCATAAAACAATAACCACATTGTCAAATGTTTATTTTTCATACTATCTATTTCTGGGACCTCCACTGGAGACTTACTGTCCTCCTCTGTCTGGAAGGTGACCTCCCTGCCCTCTTTCTTCCCCTCCGGGTTGGCCAGTGACAGACGGACATAGATGCCGTGGTAGGGTGGCAGATCACGCAGCGTGAAGCGTGAGGCGTTGTGTTCCACTGCCAGGCATTCCCGCACCGTGGTGTTATGGCCTCCGCCGCCTCCTGCCGTGGTGTAGCGGTAGCACAGGGATACTGAGTAGGTGTGGCAGCGTGTCAGGTTGAACGCCAAATTCTCCCATTGCAGGGACAGCTGCCTGGGCTGGATGTCTGTCGCTGTGAGGCCCCGCAATGCACGCATCGGCTCTGAGAGCAGGAAAAAAAGATCAGAAAGAAAGAAAAGGAGAACATTATGTGAGATCTACTGCCAAGAACCTGCAAAGTCATTTAAAAAGTACTGAAGCCTTTATTGTGAAATATTTCATATTGGACAAAGAGACAGAGTGACCCAGGACTACCCTTGCAGATTTCTACCTACTCCCCTCCTACATGCCACCATTTTTCCCAATCACAACATGGAGGTCAACATTTTGCTGCCAGCACATCCCACCCACATCCCCCTTGGCGAAGCAGGGACTCATGCCAATTGTGCTAATTAATGGGACAGGCTGCGGGTTGCTGTCGCACTCCCACTAGTCCAAGCCTCTGTGTCGCAGAGAAAATGGACTATCCAGTAGTTCTACTTCTTTGCCCTCTGGTTTTATCCACACACGCGCACACACACACACACACACACACACACACACACAACAAATGCCAGTGCCACACAAGGGCACTCACTTCCGCTGGTCACTTTTACTGCTGGGTCACCGCGATGGCCTGTCGCATATTTTTAGAAGACACCAAGTTAATTCTGGTCACTGCCAGGGTTAACCCTGACTTTCACTGACTCAGACCAAAGAACAACAGCTCTGTCTGTGATATCCAAAATGTAAGACACAGAGAGCCTCTGTACGCAGACACACAGAGCAGCCAGTGTGCGAGAGGACATCGGAAAACTGGAGAGAGGCTGAGTGAAGCCAAGGACATCCTCAGCATCAATAGGGGCATTTATCAGCGGCCATTATTAACACAATCAATGCCTTTTTGTCAAGCAATATGCTACATAATGTATGATATGGCTTTATTCTTTTAATAGGACACGTTGAGTAATGGGCCAGGGAGGCAGGGAATGACAGTAGAGATATGGGGTACAGGGAGAGATCAGTGGAGTTTGAGGTCACTGGCCAAGGTCTTAATTTCTTCACTGACTCAAACCCTCAGTGGGTTTCACACAGCAGCACAGATTAAAGCAAGGGACTTAAATAAAGCGGATAATGCATGACTGAGCAAGAGCTAATGCACTAAAACAAGAATTATCTAAGAAAATGAATTTGTAAGGTGCTCCGTGGTTGTGCAAGGACACTCTAGCACAAACATTTGCTGTATAAAATCATTACATAGGCCAATTGCTTCATGAATATCTCTATTTTAATCTAATTCTCACAAAAGTTTCAATGCAGATTACTTAACATGCTAACATTATAAGGCATGCCTAAGACACATTTCTTGTGCACTTAATACTGCCCTGTGTTAGAGCATTTCTTTTAAAGTGAGATTTTCTGACACTTCCGATTCATTCTGAAGACCTCTGCAGTCACCAGCTTTCTCTTTTAATTTGCTGTCTGGCATCCCAGGCTTGATGGAAATATGACCCGAGCATTGATCTGAACCTCCAGACTAATGTGGCGGCAGATAAATGGGTGGGCGCAGTAATCACAAAGTAGTAGACTGCACCCAGTGCGAAATGTTAATGTTCCATTGTTCAGTGTGACTGAGGATTGTCTTAATGGTGCAATTGATAGTCTGCACAGTCTGAGAGCTAAATAAAGAGAGGCATTTAACTGCTGAGTTGATGAAAGGGCCGCCAAAGAGGCCACAGTGTGCTCATTGTAGGTTTTTCTCAAAGTGGACATTTGTGCCAGCCCCTTCCCCTTGCCTCGTTTTATTTGTCAGGGTGCCACGAGCACCCACCCATTCTCCTGCACCCTGTGGCTTGAAAGCTGCAGCCGCCCCAATGTGGCCTGAAGCCTAGAGCACCATGTTGATCCTTGGAGATTAGAATTCAGAGTGGATGTGACAAGTTCTGGTTTATTATCGCCCAGAAAAAGTGTGACATGGTAAAGCAGCAGGACAGAGCAGGGCTGTTTTAGATTGCATGCATGCATGGACAGGATCTGGACTGACTTTGTCAGATGGGAAAACCTCATTTAGACGGACATGCAGGCCTGTACCAAAGCTAAACCGAAAACTCTAACATGCACAAATCCAAACACCCTGAATGTGATCATATAGTGGATTCTGGCCCAGAAAGAAAGATATGATGAACGACATGCCAGGAAAGGCAAATCACTTGTGCTCCTAATGTGGCTAATTTTAGTCATGCTCCAGTGTGAACAGAGCGGGAACATCATGACTAGAGGCTTTCCAGAAGGTTCAGTGACCCAGCAGCAGGTGGAAGCCCATTAACGTAGTTTGGGGACCACCTGCAGTACAAATGCTCGCCTCTCCTCTGTGATTTACTTGAGGGGCTTCAAGCTGTGCTAATGCACCGTGCTGATAATCACAGAAATGGCTCATCAAGCACACCTGGATGGCCGTCAGAGCCAGACAGAGAGCATGTTCACATTCACGGCCATTAGTTTTACAGCACCCGTATGAGAATGGCTCGGCCCTGCAAAGAGGTGTGTGCAATACTGTGTGCAATACTGTGTAGACAAGTAGCCCACATGTTTGTGAAGGAGGGGAAATGTTCAGCATGACCACGGAAGAGTGAAATTAGTCAAGGTGGAAAGGCACGACTTCTGAAGGGGAAATTCACTTTTCTTTCCGGGTCAAAATGTCCCTTCTTTTTATTTGATAGTTACCACCTCCCTGAAATCACAACAACAACACCACCACGGATTTCCTTTTTCTTAAACCTAATTAGGCCAACAGCAAAGGAGGGTGGTAAGGGCTCAGTGTTGGAATGTGGGGTCAGGAGGGGAAATGTAGTCCAGATGGTTTGGAGGCGGGGTCAGGGAGATCTGGGAACCAGGTGGTGATTAGAGTCTCCTACATGGTCAAGAAGGTGAAATAAAGCAGGTGGAGGTTTCCATTGTTACTGTTTGGTTTAAACTCAGCTTATTCAGCTCCTTTTATACAAACATGTAGCCCACAGTGCTTCACATAGAGAATAATGGACTGAAATAAGAACACAAAATGATCATTAAAAAGAGAAAGCAGCAAACACATTTAAAAACCCATTAGAAATGAATGATTAAAGTCTAGTTGAACATTAAATAAATAAATAAAAACACTCGGGAAAAGGTGTTGTAAAATACAAAGATAAAAACTGTATCTCAGGTAATAAAATTACTCTGAAAGAAAAGCTCCCTTGAACGGATAGGACTTTAATTTCCATTTAAACATACCTGCCATTTAGATATCGAGACGCAGTAAGTCTTATAGTTTAGAGGTATGACAAAATAAAAGGCTCTCTCGACACATTTAGAAAATGTAAATAAAAGGAGGGGACCTTGAAAAAGATCTGAATAGACGTCTGAGTTAATTCATTTCAAGCTTTACAAACAAGTAAAATAAGCCTGGGCAGTGTTTTCCAGATTGTGGTTATGTTATTGATTATTCATTTTCTTTTGTCAATTGATGAAATATCCCCTATATGCTAAGGCACGAGCTGTAACAAAACCATGCAGGACTCAATGCAAAAACAATAATTCAACCAGCAGAGAGTCACAGCTTTTCAGCAACCTAAAGGCAAAATCTAACGGACACGCTGACAAAATTAATTTCACCTATACTTCCCCTGAGTTGAACTAGTACTGCATCTAAATGCCCTGTTTAACAGCTCAGCAAACACAGCAGTATTACTTATCCCACACATGGTTGAACAAGCTAATGTCACAGTGGTTGAAATGTAAATACATCATTAAAGGCTGAGTTTAGTGACTTTCACAAACAGCGATACCGGCAACTCCGAAAGCAATTTTCCTATGCCATGGATCCTCTCTCGCTTCACCTCTCACACTTTCACTCTATTAATTTTTTTTTTTTTTTTACTGTTTCTCACGCTTTGAAAAACTATCCTCTCTCCCACACACATACTCCCATAACGAAGCCTTCTTTCTCTCGATACCGGCGTCGTTTTTTTCTTTTTTTCTTTTTTAACTTCTTTATTGTGAATTTCCTGTGTCTCTTGAGTCGGGGCAGGGCAAGCAAGGATTGGTGAGGGAAGGCCTGTGAGCTCAGTCTTGGTGCCTGATGAATGGGGGGTGTCTGTGGCTGTTGGGAGAGGAGCGTAGCTTTAATATGTCATTGGAGAGGGGGCTGGGGAAGCTCCAGTGAAGCCGCGGAGGGAAATATGTGAGGGATGGTGTGTGGCAGCAGGAGACTATTGGGCATAGTGAAGAGTGATGACCATGGAAGACACGAATCCACAGACCGCCTTTGGGTAACACAAAGCTCTCCATTTCATGTCACTGCTGCACACACACTGCAGATGTAGCCCGCAGTAATGACTGCCCGCATCTCTGTGTTTGCATCTGCAACAACACAGTGCTCTTTGGTCTATACACTGTGTGTGTTCATATATTATACAGTTAGCATGGGTGTGGCTCGCAGGTATTCTGATCAACTCCCTGGGTGTTCTGAGTCTGCACGCTGATGGATTACAGTGGTGGTTTGAGAAGACGGTAAAAAGTATGTCATTTGGTGAAATAAAAAACAAACCAAAGGGGGTTAAAGCAGAAAAATTTTCACCTAAGAGGATGGATGAGAATTAAAAATGATGAATGTGAATGTGACTAATTTAAAGGGAAAATGATGCATTTAGCTTCATTAATAAACAAAACTACAACAAGAGAAAACAGATAGCAGTGTGAGGAAGAAAGAATTATTAGCTATTTGTTTTAGACTTAAGACTTTTTTCTTTTTTTTTTTAAGATTTATTTTTGGGCTTTTCGTGCCTTTAATGCAGAGGGAGGACAGTGGATAGAGTCGGAAACCAGGGAGAGAGAGTGGGGAACGACAAGCGGAAGGGGGCCACGGGTGGAAGTGAACCTGGACCTACCGCATGAGATGAGAGTCTCAATACATGGGACGCGCGCCCTAACCATTGCACCACCAGCGCGCCCCAAGACTTAAGACTTTTAATGAGCTTTTTATTGGCTGATGTCAGACAATGAAATATATTAAAACGTTGTATTTAATAGTCAGGAACATAAAGAGCAGATTTAGGATAAATAATAGTTGAAAGGGCTACGAACTTCGAAATGTGTATTCATAAAGAACAAAAACAAACAGTCTGCTAAAAACAATTCCAAACAGAACCATCGAGTATTGAAGATATTAAAATTATGATAACTCAAAACTCTTATTCATATATTTTTCAAGTTGTGGACAAAACAAGACATTTGAGGACATCATCTTGAGCTTTATTAAAGAAAAAGAAAAGAAAATTTCACAGTTTTCTTAAGTTTATTGAGGGCAGTAGCTCAGTCCGTAGGGATTTAGGTTGGGAAACAAATTGTCACCGGTTCAAGCCCCAGTGCGGACCTAGTCTGGAAATTGGTAGCTGGAGAGACACTGAACCCCCCCCCCCAGCAACCCCCTCACTCTGTCTTTTCTCCATGAGTGCTTGTCTATAGGATCCTGTTTGTGCATCTGTGTGTATTTCAGCATACAGTATGTGTGTGTAGCATGTTCAACAACAGTGTGTAAATTAGAATTTCTCTTCACAGGATTAATAAAGTATAACTAAAGAGAATCGATATTAAGTCATTTTAACTTCATATAGTGTGTCTTAACCACTGCCAGCTATAAATCCTTGTCCATTAATTGTGCTTTTCGTATATAACCCCCCCCCCCACCAAGGCTAACTACTACAGTCAGCCAGCTGTTATCTTATTTTAGAAATGTCAAACCAATCCTGCCACGCTTGCAGCCAAAAAGTTTTCCTCTCAGTCTCCTTAGCTGCAGAGTTGAGAGCTGCCCCTGATAGCAAATGTGCCTTTTCTTCTGAGATAAGTGTATGCAGTGACTGAATCAGAACTTCTCCATCAGCTCCTCTCTGATTGAATTTTAGCAGATTATCGCGACAGATGCAGCCCTATAATTGAAGACTCTCTTAAATGACGGTGCTTGGCTGTTGGGCATCTGGACTTTGAGCTGTGGAGCTTGAGAGTAATTTAAAAAGTGCAAAGGAGAAATAGTATCTATCAGTGTTATTTTAAATCTAGATTGAATATATAATAAAGCAATTTCAAAAATCACACAGCAGTATCCTGTAGAGTTTGTATTAAAAGACCATGTAGCACTGTATCACTTTAACAAGGGCTCTGGGTCGCTGTGTCACCTTAACAGTGCACATTGGTATTCCCCTTAGAATAACATATTTAATTATGAGTCCGTCAGCTCAACTATCTCTGCCCAAACACAAAACCACAAAGGGGAAGAGAGCACTACAGGGTGTTTGAGCCTCTTATCTCGACAAACATTATGACCAATACATGGACATCATGGAAATGAATAAGGTGATAAGGTAAACAATACTCCGTGAGTCAGCTTTAAACAAACAACATATGGATAAAAGCTGGCTGGTGGGTGGTGTGTTTTCAGCTTAACGCAGCAGCAGCAGCTACTGGCCAGTGAATAGCAGCTTGTATTTCGCACCTTCATGTTTAGAGTCAGGCGTTAAAACCCACGGCACTGTTGTATGAATAAGTGTATATGCTGACGATGATAGCTATGTTTGTATTACACCTATCCGCATGTACACTTTGAGCGCCATCACCCAAAACAGCGTGGAATGATGTGCTGCTATATTATCTACAAGTACACAACATTTGATCACATGAGGCCGTTGTTTTCCTACCAGTGGGTCTCACAAGATGAATCTGAGGGGTTCAGCAGAGATAGTTATACAAACCATTTTTTTTCTGATGTATCAGATTTTTTGAAATATGTGATATCACAGACATGGTGTTTTTGCTAATTAATGTGTGACATCTCAGTGGTATGTCCCCCTTTTATAAAAGGCCTATGAGTGTGACTCATTTTACACTAACACCATACCTGACAGAAAAATGCTTGATTTTATTTGCCAAAAAAAAAAAAAAAAAGAAGCCTGGAACATCTGCATCAGAAGGCTGAATCTCACCTGCACACTTGGTCCTGCTCACAAGTGGTGGTCCAGGTGGTCCGGTTCCTCCCTCCCCAGGTCGAGTCAACAGCACACTGATGTGGTACTCCGTGTCTGGATCCAGATGCCACAGCTTATAGGTGACCATGTTGACTCCGTGCACCTCTGACCATGGAGACTGGCTGGCGCGGTACTCAATCTCCTTCCTGATAATGGGGCCATCTCCCAGGATAGAGTTGGTGTTGAGCTGGATGATCAGGTAAGTGGAGCCGGCACGCAGCAGCTGTGGCGGCGCGATGGGGGACGGAGGTACTGTGAGAGGAAATGAAAAGCAGGGTTTTGTTTTTCTGTTCTCTTGCATCATGTTTTCATCAGTGAAAGCATTTTCTGGCAGACACGGTGCACTGCTGCACATATACTTTGGAGCTAAGGTGGTGGTGTTAATTTTATTAATTAGCTGTATCCAAAGAGATTACTCATTACATTAAAGCCCACTGGGTCTTAAATGAGTCCCTAGAGGAAGCAGGATGTGAGTAGGTCAAACTGTATTCAAATAGCAGATTAGTCAAGGCTATTAAGAAGGCATTTACTGCCTCGCATACATTTGTGCAAACTAGTGAGTGGAGAAACAGCTGTGCACACGCTGCACTGAATGTGTATGATCTTTGGAACTGAAGGATTATTTGCTGTACATCATCCTCTCTAACTGAGTGTGCTGGCTTCAGAGCCGGCCACCCAATGACGAAAGAGTAGACTCTACATCACTCTCGGTAAAGATTGCCAAACCAAAGATTAATTCCAGAGCCCATCGGTCAAACGTCACTCACTGGCAGATCCAAGCGACTGAACAATTACACGGGCAGCAGTGTGAGGGAGGGAAGGGAATGCAAAAGAAACGAGGACAAAGCATGAGAAAAGATCAGAGTTAGATCTGTGGCTGTGACTAATCCCTCAATTCTGCAGAGGCGCCTCTCCCTTTTATGGCCCTCCTCTCTGCTGGCTTTCAACTTAACCAGAACCTCACCTCTACTCTGCAGAGCTTACTACTGCCAGGAGTTTGCCTGAAGCGGCCTATCATCTGCATCCATAATGACAGGTTACATTTAGGTAACAGTGAGGCCTAATCTAAAACAACTCACTCATTTATTTCATAATTACATTCACCGCCCTTTTTTTATCTCTTCATTAAGTTTGTTTATTTACAATGTCTTGTTCTCAGTATATTGTGACTTGCATTTTTCTTTGTTTCCCTCTGCATACGGAGTTATTCTCAAACTAAACATCGCTCTCAGAGCTACTTTCTGTTTAATTTAGGTTTTTGAGATTTATGCGTAATCAGTCTGCAAATCCCAGCACAGACATCTTGGAATGTGCTCACAGTCACAATATAACAACCATGGGGCCACAACAAAAGGCAGAGGCATACAATACCTTAAGGACAAAGATGGAAATGTTTTATTCATTAATTGGACGTATTGCTTTCCTCAATGGGCAATAAGGGGCTTCATCATGATTCCTGCATGGAATCTATGGTCTTGAAATGAGTGGATCCAACTCATTAAGGGGATGATTAGGCTCCTCTGAGCAGAGCATAGGGGGAGAGGGATTTATGAATGTCTCGTTAAGGACTCGTTCTCGGCTCCTCTTTAATAGATTATCGAGCTACAGCCAGTTGAAGTGAACATGACTTACAGCCGGCCATCACGTCCACTCGAGGGGCAGAATGAGCTGTGCCAAAAATAACATCTTTGTCCTCATTATGAAAAAAAAGAAGCAAAACCACAACCATGCAGATCAAATCATTCTTATTTTCTGAGAGTGTGAGCACACAAAATGGGATTTCATGGCCTTCTACAAAGCCATTTACTGTCTCCTCATCTACTGGCAACTGCTGGTGAGAGGGTTTAGTAATATTTGGGAAAGGGATTCCGTTTTGAACTGTAGCAATCAGCCTGTATCAAAATACATATCCGAAGCCATGCTTCAAATAAATAAAACAGATTTACTTCATGCTAAAATGCAAATAGACTAACAGTAAGCAGCCACGCCTGCAGCTTTCTGAGGAAATCACAGACACAGCTTAATGCTAACTACAGCAGGCTAACATTAGAGGCCATAAGCATGCCAATGCTGATGCTCAGAATGGATAATGTTTACCATGTTAATTATCTAACTTTACTGATTATGTAAAGCTTCTTATAAATCATCAGGTTTTGAATTTTGTATCTATCAGTCTATCTACTTATCTATGTTTTTGCCTCAAGGTTAAATGCTAACCACAACATGCTAATGCAGATGTTTAGTGGGTACATGTTTGGTATGCTTATCTTAGTTAAGTGTGTTAGCATGTTTACATTAACTTGCACAGCATGTCAAATGGATACAGGACAAGCCTAAGAGTGAACAGCGATTCGAGCAGCTGTGAAGCTCTCACAGAAAATGGTCTGTGGTGCACTAAACCAGGCATGGGCACTTGTGGGAATCTGGACACTTAAGATGATCTACACACGCAGGTGGTTGGTCCTTGTGCGCATGATGAACTATGATGCTGCCGATCCCACCGGTTATTGTAGCCTATTTCCTAAGTTCACCATCTAAGGATTTACTGCTTAAAATCACTAATAAGCAATTTACACAAAGTGCAGCTAAAGGTTACACAAAATTACCATCATTACCATTTTGACTGATATTTGGTTATAAAACTATACATTTCAAAAACAAAATGTTTGAACCACTCACAGGAATATTCAGAGTATTTAGGATTTATCTTCCAAAAACCATAAATGTCTTTCAAATATTCATGGAAGTCCTCTCAACAGTAGGCTAGTTGGTACAGTTTATTTTATCCTGGAACAAAGAGACGGACTGGCTTACCAGCTAATTAGCCGTCCAACCAACACTTGCTTTATTCCCAATATTGCTGAAACACATTTTTTTCCCTGAGGTATACAGTAGAAGACAAGGAGATTTGGCATCCTTCACATCCTTCTTTCCCCTCCTCATCTTCCCTTTGCTCAGGGCAGGAGATTGTTATGCCATCAAACCCTCCCACAGCCATGTCATTACTGTGCTGTCAAAGCAGTGTCAGGCTGGGGGGCTGAAGTGAGTAATGGGAGTGAGGTCACCATCTGTGGTACATGATATGACAGGGTCTGCAGGAGTCCAAGTCAAGTGAGCATCTTTTTGACAGGGAGCTGAAGAGCTGAGTATTGCAGCCGATTTGACAACTGCAGCTCAGAAAACAACACATGTTGGGGAGACTGTCCTGTGCCGTCCTCGGAGCCTTCGTGTGTGGGGCGCAACCATGTAATTTGTGATTGTGGAGTAATAGGGGAATCAATTTCAAATAGGTGTCTGTGATTTCCTCCATCATGCACAAATAATATCCTGTGGGTCATTTGAAATGTGTTCACACTCGTGGCTATCACTGCCTGTTAGGATCACTTTCATTTTCAGTTCCTCTTTAAATCAGACGCAGTAATCCACTGAGACCGAGAAGAGCAGAAAATCCTGTTATTATACAAACAGCAGGGAAACTGATGGCTGGGAACAAGCGAAACCAAGAGAGATACTAAAAGACAACAACAAGAGAAGAGGAAAAGAGAGTGTTTACCTTTGACTACGAGTTCAGCAAAGTTTGAGACCCCGGAGCCCCTGGGGGACTGAGTGACACAGCGGTAAAGGTCTTGATCTGTTCGCTGGACGCTGTCTAGCTGGAAGGATACCACAAAGCGCCAGTGACTCAAGTGCTTGACGGACGCTGCCGTTAAAATGTCCCCATTGTGTCTCTGGAAGGCAAGAAAGGACAGGGTCAGAGAAAACAGGACGGGTCATCTTGTTCCTCTCTCCCCCACACAAATACAGGTACATGTCATCTCAAACACTGTTTGATGTGCAACAGCCACACAGGACTCGCACAGGTCACTGATTCAAATATACTCACAGTTATATAAAAAAAAGACAGTTTAAAGCAGCAGAGGCCAAGATGTGACTGTTACTGGTATAAGTCAAAGGTCACATATTATTCTTCTTTTCAGACAGTTTCAATACGTCTCAGAGCTCCTCCCAACATGTCGGTGAAGTTCATGGTTAAAAAAAATCCACTCTGATCCTGTATTTGATCATGCCTAATAACCTCTCTGTTTCAGGGGGTTGGCCTTGGCTTTCTTGCTCCATGCCCTATTGTTAACGGAGAGAAGGCAGACTCAGAGGGCAGAACAAACACCTAGCTGTGGGAGTGTCACCCACCTGGGGGAGGGGTTACTGCCCCTTATGATGTCATGAACTAAAAAATCTCCGTGTTTAAGCACCTTTTCTGAAAAGTGGAGCAGGCAAAAGACGGAGAGGATGGACTTTTCTCATAGTTGGAGCGTTTCTAAACCGATTAAGGACACATAATCGTGTTAGAAAAACACGTGAAGTGTATTTTGCCCAATATGTGACCTTTAAGCTTTCAAACCCTAGATCCTACACTTCCCATGATGCAACCTTCAGGATCCTCATTAGTTTGCCCATGGTAATAAACGTCACTGAAACTTCATAACCCCAGTTTGTAATCAATCTTCTAAAATAAACAGTGTTTTCTTGAGTGAGAAACAGATACATTAAACATACAGATACAGATACATTGTACATTAAACTTAAATGTTGAAAGTTAAAAAGTCACCCTTGATCAGCCTGATCTATCAAAGAATGAACATACAGTATTGTTTAACCTGATGTGTGTTTTAGGAGTGTAAGATGATAAGGATTTAGTTGTAAGGCTGGGAATCTTTGGGTGTCTCATGATTAAATTTTGATTTTTTATTCTTGGGGTCACAATTTGATTCAGAATCTATTTTCGATTCAAAACGATTCTGGATTCATCGATCATTGGATTCAAAGGCTATTTTTGAATTAGTACATACTTCAGGATCTACTCCGGACATCAGTGAGACTGGGTGCACTTCTTTCTGCTCTATTTGGTATTCTACTGAGTTAAAGGGTTAGCCATAGCACTAAGCAGGGAGTGACTGATTAGCCAAAAAAAAAAAAAAGTTTTTGGAGGTTATGAATCTATTTAAAATCTCAGAAGATAAGAATCTTGATTTTTACAAAAATCTTTTTTTTTTTTTTATCCCATCTCAATTTGGTTGTTTAAAGTTCTGCTAAATTAAAGTCAATCATTTTTCTACTAGACTGATCCCCAGAATCTTTGTCGAATTAAATGAGTTTTCAAATTTTTCATTTTTCTTTCTGTCACATTTACTGGTTTACTTTCCTCCTCCTTTAAAATAACTTCCTCGTTTAAATACTTGGACGACATTAGCTCTGTTGTAGAACACAGTCGTAATATAACTAAGAAGTCTTTATGTATGCTTTATAAAGTTATTAGTGTTTTTATTATAAGGTGCACACACAGACCAACCTCCCCCACAAACACACACATAAACACTCATTATCTACATTTGCTCTTGTAAGCAGTTATTGCCCAGTGAGCTCCTGGGACACACAAAGCTAATAATGTAAAGAAACCCACTTTAATTATTGCAATCTGGGTCATTTTTTATTAGAGCTTTGAGATTTCAAAGGACGATTGTCCGTCTGTGTGCAGTTTAATTAGGGTAACAGGAGCATTTCTCTGATTCAATCACGCAATATGACAATCAGACGTGTTTTCATAAAAACAAATGGAATCTTGTTAAAATAATAGTGATTATGGGGGTAATACATGTAATAAGAGTTGTCCCTTAATGAAGCCCATCTACAACCTCAGTCCTCTGTGTGCAATGTTATTGAACCAAAACATTTCACTGCTCAGCAGTTAGAACTGGGAGGCAGATGGGCTTTAATGCATTAAGGTTTAATCAGTCGAGAAAACAAGGCTCATTGCTGAGAGGAAACATGTCGACTTGTTTTGGTGGAAAAACAATAAAGAAGAAGAAGTAGCAATGGTTGTGAGCTCTCTGCTTGTTTTAGCATAAAGCATGTCTCAAAGCAGAAACCGAACATAAACAAAAGTGAGTTGGAGCAGAAAGTGAGAAACAGAGGGAGGTAGTCATATTGAAAACAGAGCGCGGTTTGCATGAATGTTGCATGATGCACCTCGCTGTTACACCATGAGACACATTTCTCACATTGTTACACACCATTAAAACCACAAGCATCCGTCAACTCTGCGGAGTCTCTACAAAACACATTGAATCCGAAAATTTTTCCCATGTTTTCAGGCCGTTCTCTTTGTGTGAAATAGTGAACATTAAACTTCATACTCATCCTTCTTTATCTGTACGTTACACAGATACACAGAATCTAAATCATGGACGTATTTCACTGACTAGCAGGGAGACCTTTGGTTTGTGTTCAGCTCCTGGTTGTACTTCTGATTTGGACCTTCAAAAAACCCACAGACCACACAAACCTCATGCAGGGCCTTTGCAAACAAACACATAAACACACACCCGCTAGTTAGGGTTAAGCAGGCAACAAATCTTGTGACCGCAATGACAGAAAAAAAAAATCTCAATTATACATTACGCTCCTACATCCACTGAGCGTATTTCATTTTGACGAGCATGTGGACTGCAGCATGCAGGGTTAAATCAGGATAGATCAAATAAAAGTGAGGTGGCTTCGTGTAACGTAAACAATCTGGCTGCTGCTAATTGGCGAGGAAACGACAAAAGGGTCTGTTAATCAGGTGGGCGTGTGCAGCCAAGATGTTGCTGCAGCTGGTACAGCAGAAACAATGAACACGGAAGGACACAACAACAGAAAGTGAGAATGATACGAGGACATGCTGACAAAAGAGCTCAGACTGACACGTGTGCAGCGGACAGAGAGACGACAAAGAGGGCAGTTAAAGGTAGAGGAGAGCCATTCTAGTGGCCGGGGGATCTCATTACAGCAGACGCCTGTGTGGTTATGCCAGCTAATTACCCAAACAATTTGTCTTCATCTTCGTGTTGTGACCAAATGGCTGGTTTGATAAAGAATGCAGAGAGGTGGGAGTGAGGAGGCTTCAATTACATAAATCACAGATCTCTCTACTTTCAAACCAAACAGAATGTTTACCTAAGGTTAACCATGATTAACTCTGGCTGGCTGTAGTGGGAGGTAAGATGTTGGCAAGAAGCAGCGAAAGTGTGGCTGCGCATTGTAATTTCCACAATGAGAAGAAAAGAAAAAAGCCATGGTACTTTAATCAAGGCTACAAAAAGAGTGGGGATCTTAAGTCCCCCATTATTCCCAGCAGAGGTAAGGACTGTATGACCCATCTGACCTTCACAGAAAAAAAAGCCATTCTAGATTAAAAAAAAAAGACCAAAAGCACAGACCATGATCTGAATACAAACAGGAGGCAGCGAGGAAAGCAGAGAACACTATGATCTTTTAAGCAGTGTTACTTTACATAGGCAGTGAAGTGAGGAGGCACAAAGGCCTTGATGGCCTTCACAGCGTTAGAACTGCCTCTGCTATCTTTATTTAAGCACAAACACGTCTGGGACACGGAATGATACAACAACACAATAAACTGTGTTGCACTGATTCTGCACTTATAATGCAGTAATACACTGAGTTACATTTTGTTGGAATATCGAAATCAAGTTAATGATTGATCTGAAGAACAGTGTCAGTAATCAAAAAACTACACAGAGATGTGAAACTGGAACAAAGACATAAAACGGAAACAAAGAGACACAAAATGACAAATGTCACAAATGCTAAAAAGAGGATCAGCTGCTTCAAAGAGATACAAAACCCCCACAAATACCGCAAAACAGATACAAAAACAACATGAAAGAAATGTTAAACAGTACAAAGCAACACAAAATGAGAGAAAAAAGTCATTAATGAGATGTTAAAAGGATAAGCACTGCAGTTCAAAGTGATGCAAATAACAGCAAATACATGATTTTTTAAAAAGGCAGAAGAACAACAAAACTACAGAAAGTGATCATCTTGTCTCTGGGTGATTTTTGAAGTTTATAAAAGACTTTTAGACATCTGAACCCAGGAGGTCCACTGCCTCATTATCTGGCCATGACCTGAAGTACCTCTCAAAGATGGAGGATTGAGTACAGAAAGCAGTTTGTCTTTTGTACTATTGACTGTCCCGGAGGTAAAAATATCCACACATCAAAGTCAGACACACAGGTTACTTTAGCTCTAAAGTCCACCATTGAAGCACTGACCTCCAGCAGGAACTTCTCCGCCTCTGAAGCTCTTCCAGCAGCAACACATTGGAAGGTAGCATTCTGGCCCGCATTGACCTCCTCATCTCCGAGCCTGGAGAAGTGCGGCGCTTTATCTAAAGAGGCAGAAACATAAAGAGGAAAGCAATGAATCTAAAAAACTCCATTACCTTTCAGCTGTTCACAATGTCAATAAGGCACACGGCACCATTATACCAAGGCTTTACATTAACACGAATGTTAGGCATATTGGTTTGAGAGAACAGCTGGCTTTGTCCTGTGTGTGCTCATATTTAATTCATTATCACAAATGCAATGACAAACCTAAAGCGACTGAGAATTTGTAAAGTACAAATAAACTCCAAAAACTTTCTTTTACACCTTTTTCAATTCTATTTTTCATTTTTTGTTCCATCGATGCAAAATAATACATATACACTGATTTTATATTTAATTTCATAATGTTTCTTCCACTTCTTTTCAACTTCTTGTTGACAGCTTTGAGCAGTTTAAAATAATGATCTTAAGAATGTAGCTGCAAAAAGGAAAATAGCTAAATCAGAAAAAGGAAAAAGGTTGACAAAAAAAGCATTGTGTTTCTTTTCTTCTTATTCTTTTGGCCTTGTTTTCATGTGTTTCAGATGTATTAACAGCGTAGGAAAGATGTTGTTGCATCTATCCTTTCAACGTTCAGAGTCTTTACAGCCCACAGAAATGTATGTGAACAGGAATGTTGAATATTAATGCAATATTATTTAACATAAGATTAAAGAAGTCAAACTATAATGTGTGTGGGCAGTGATGATTCTAGAGACTACTGGGGACCCAGGCAAGAAATAATTGGGGGCCCTACAACCTGCATTTATCACCATCATGTCTGCCATGCTTACTCCTTCCTCTTAATGTCATGTTTCTGATTTCTCTATGATAGACCGAGAATTCCTCTATACTTTCACTAAAAAACATTGGTTTTCACAGCAATAAGCCAACGAGAGTAAGTGCTGTCAGATGGGGCACCCTTAGGGAGGTTTCCTACTGTCACTGCTAAATTTGCACATTTTGCTGTGGTTTAAGGTTTGTCAGCCCTCAGGGGCCCCCTATCAGTCTGGGGCCCCAAGCCGTTGCCTGCCTGCCTTGCCTGTTGACAAGCAGCGCCTCTGTGTGTGGGTTTTTTTTAACATAAAGTGTAGATTAGTTTGTAAACGTATGTGTTAAAAGGGTCATTCAGAAGCCATTACCATAGACCCAAATAACATCAGATTAGAGGCAATCTATAAATGAGCCAACTGTGGGAGTGAATCTGTGTGAGAAAAGCCTCAGAGTGAGCATCAGTCCTCCACATTTTGACTAATAATGTCCCAGCATGCTGTGCAGAGATACAAATGAGTCAGTGTGTGGGAGTAGCCCTCTCACCCAACTCTGTGATTAACAATAGAGAAGTGAGATCCACACCCCTGCAGAGTGAAATCACTGGGTAAACGCCAGCAGCACTGTCTGCCATCTCTGAGAAATGGGGTAGGAGAAGTCCACATGTCACTCAGGATGATTGACGGGGAGACATGGCAGAGCGGCAGTGAAGCTGAAGCTTCGGGGAGAGGCAAATGTTTTGGTCTCATGCATCCCCTGCTTGGTTTTGTGCTGCGATCTAGCAGAATGGGGAGATGACAATTTGTTGAGCTTGTTTGTGTACAGTAGTAAGAGGAGACTGTTCACATCTGTACCCTGCAGGCAGCCATGTTTCCTTTGAGTGACTCTCCCTCCTAAGGTTAATTCATAATTCATGCCTGAGAGCCGAACATAAACAAACACGGTAATGAGTGTGAACGGAAAAAAGAAAAAAAAAACTCCATTTGGCAAGAGCTCTGGTGTAATACAGCTAAATGTGTCAGATCTTATCCTCAGGACTCTTTAGAGTGATAAATATTTCATTAGGGCGCATTTCTGCTTCCAAAGTCAAAGACTACGTCTCAGGAGAATAAAACTAAAATGTCCAGACTGCTTTATCAAGAATTTACAAAACGTGTTATGCTCATATTTTATTTTATTTCTTTCCACTATGTGACACTTTCCCTCCGGGTTTCACTCCTTTCCCTGCCCTGTCGTTGCCAAGTAGTGCAGGCTGGCAGTGTGCCACATCATAAGGCATGCTCAGGTCTTGATGAGAGTCTTAATTATTTAATGGCCACAGTGGGAGCATTCAGAGGATGCCATCTGCTGTTTTAGGGAAAAACATGGTGGCTGACTGGGTGGTATGCATGCAGTAGGGTTAAATACCAAACTTAACATTGCAAGTGTTGTCTATAACACAACATGTCTGAATAGTCAGCCTACCAACAATGCAAGGGTGGATAGCTCAAATGCTATTAGGATGTCTGACTGCTCGTTGGAATTTAAAATAAATAAGAGTATCTGATGAATCAGTGTCATTCACTACTTCTTGATTGCTTAAAAACTGAAGACAAATAATATCTGGCAATATTTCAACTTAAAACATCCAAATTGCTAACCTGCTGGCTGAGCACAGAAAGCTACAGACATTAGCATTCAGCCACTTACTGGCTAATATGACCAAAAGCTAGGAAGTGGCTGAAAGTTAATATTGATTATAACTTTACACAAAACAATACAACAAGCATTTCTATATAATACAAAGTGATGGTTCACTTCATTATCAATATTATGTTTGTTGGAACTTCTCATAAAACGCAAAGTAATTAAGGGAGCAGTTGAATGCTTGTGTTAGCTGTTGTCTAAAAGTAGCTAACAGCTTATCTTATATGTTATTTTACTTTGCTTGATGTCCCTCTGGATTTTCACTTTCAATTCTCTTTTCAGTATCTTGTAAATCAGGACACAGTGAAATTATTTACATTCCTCAGTTACCCTAAAACGTACAACCTGAAACAGACAACGGACATTAAAATAGCATTTTAGTTTTACCCTGATTATGATGTCAGAGATGATAGAGGGATATATAAGTGTTGACAGTGAGAAAACATTACATCCCCATGAGATCAAAAATAGCCCTCTAAGCTTGAGTCAGCTATATGAGTCACTTAGAGTAGTGTGAACATGGCTGTTAAATGTGCTACTAGCACTTGTGTTTCAGCAGTGGGTCATACAGCGAGTGAAAGTGTCATGGAGAGAGTTTGTCCAGGTATTGAGCTCATGGGGCTTACTGAATATGTCTTACACATGGTCCTCAGGGGCTGACAACACACTGCACTGATACTCCCACTTTTACACCACTGACACAAAAAGCCCCTGCTGCAGGAAGCTGTCGCTAAAACTAAAAAAAAAAACTTGAAGAGAAGGCATTTTCATAGCGCTTTGAAATGTAGCACTGGTATGGAAAAAGGAACCTCTGTACAGTGTTAGTAAGGACAAAATCTACACCACACGTCAGGTCAAGCCAAAGATCATGAATGTGTAGAAGCCTTTCAAAAAACAATTCAAGGTTTACCAAATTAACAAACGCATTTGGTTGTCAAACGGGGCAGGATGGCAGGATGGCAGGTGGAAGGAAGTGTTGGCATTAAGTGTCACAGTGTTTTAACAGCTCTGCTGCTGTTGCAGGGCGCCCCAGGACGACGTGCAACACCAATATGAAAGCTTGATCAGCCATTTCTTCTCTCCTCTTCCTCTTCATGCTGCTAGGAAGTACATCTCCCACCCAAACCACTAAACCCTAGTTGTCTTCCAGCACCTCCTGTAATTGCAATTCATTATCAGAAGTGGCACTTACAGCAGGGATAGTTGAGCACCATGATGTCATCTAAGGCGATGTAGCCGTGCCTCTCCCTGGAAACCATAGCCTCAATCAGTACCTGCAAAAAAGAAAAATACATTATAATCAGATTTAATTCAACAATTACAGCAAATCAAGCTTACACTTGTGGCTAACCTGCTGCTCTCAACGCTGAAGCAAAAAGGCATTTTCATAATGAACATGAAGAGCTGCACACATTCTGCTGCTCTTGTCCTCCTCTCAGGGACAGGCGCATTAATTACAAACTACTCCATCGCCACGTTGTTCCACATCTGTTGACCCAAAACAAAAAGCCAGAAAGTGATATAAATAGGGAAAGACAGAAGCATAAAATAAAGAGGTGGATAAGTATTGTTGCAGTCTGCAGGGCCAGGTGAAATAAGAGCTTCATCAGAAGGCACAAAATGTGGTGCCTGAGTCATGAGCTCTTTTCTAAATTCAGGATGCAGGCTGCTGTGAAGCCGTAAGAGCAGATAATACAGCTTGTACAGGGCCACGAGACTCAGGGGAGGACAAAGCTCCATACTGTCCTGTAGACAATAAGCTGGATGAGCAGCAGGCTCTCATGAAACCTAATCAATATCAAATCACCATCCTCAGGAAAAGTGAAGGAGTTATGAGACACAGGGGTGATGTTTGTTTTTCGCTGCAGCAAGGACAGTCCTCCATCGGCACGTTTGATCGAAGGCCAGCTATGAGTTATTGTTTCTCATAATCCTCCGACCAAATGATTACAACAGGGCTCCCAACAATGGGTCTGTAGTTTTACTGAGGAGGCCACACACTCTCACACACACACACACACACACACACACACACACAAACCAGCTATACCTTGTATCATTCAAGATACTTGGAATGTGTCTGATGTCTGTGTTTACACACATTATGCGAGAGTGGAACTAATTTTTCCCCAAAGTCAGGACTGGTAAAAAATATTTCTGCTACTACCTTGATGTTGAGTTACACTGTTTAGAAAAACACAGACAAAGATCTCTGCACACCTGAATGTATGGCATGTGCGTCGGAGGAGGGTAAAACTGAATAATGACAGCAAGCAGACATCAACATGTACATGGAAATGTTTGCTTGTTGCCATTATGCCTGATGAAGGTCGGTTAGACCGAGACGTTGTACGATCTGATAAACACAGCATAAAGAGAGAGAGGAGCCTTGCTCGTTGCCTTTAGTTACAAAGTTTTAAATTCATTATTTCATATGAAACTTAATGACATTAATAAATGTTAGAGTACCTTCAGCTCCAACATGTTACCTTAGTTTAACTTTCTATGCAGAAGTGATTGCATTTTCACGCAATAAGCAGAACATTTCTGAACATAGATCAGTAGGACATCAAGATAATCCCTCCCAACACACTCAGTTTGTGTTATCACACCTAATATAAGAGTTACAACAACATCTCATGACCTCTGGCCCAAAAACCTTCTTTCCAGAGTCAGCAGGACAGAGATAGTCCACCTCCACTTGGGAAGGAAGACGAGTGATTTAAGCAACAATTGGTGTGACAACCACCCTGGTCATGCACCACCCCCTAAAGGCACCTACGTCGACACTTCATGATGGGATGTGAGGAGATTGGGGTTAAATAAAAATCTCCTGACAGAAAGCTAGGTGTGCCGAGAGGGGAGAGAGGGGAGAGAGGGCAGACAGAAGTGGATGGGAAAGTTAAAAAAGGAAAGCAGGAGGAAAGGTGCAGGGCTGCTGGGTCTCAGTATTGGAGGGTGACACAGCTCTGAATGAAGCTGGCTGCTCTCCTCCGGCTAACAGAAGGACACTGAGGCGAATCTCCTTCTGCCAGAGTCGATTTTTCTGTTTGTTTCAAGACATAGCTGGAACCAGAGCTGGAAGATGCTGCTTTTTTTTTTTAAGGGATATTAACATTTCCTGTTTTAATCATTCCCACTTTCTGCCCTATTTCAGGAGGTCTATTTACTTTGAAGCCTGTTCCAGATCCTTCTGTCTCATTTCACTCTTTCTATTTCTACCACTGTTTGCAGTTTTTCTCTTTCTCCCCTCCCTCCTAGTGTGCACCTGCATAAACATACAATATTTACAGCAGTAATTAAAGCACAAGATGCTCCAATATGTAGACCTGAATTAACCGTGTTAGCACACACTAGCAATTTAGTTTGGCTCACATCAAAATTAGCCAGAAACATTGATTAGGCTTAATGGTTCAAAATGTATTCGTAGGCCTGATTGGAGGTGTTATTACTCTCTGCTGCTCGAAAGCATTCAATAACAGATTGATTGCTGGTTAATCTGCAGTCTTCTTAGCCATTAGAGTAGGAGGTTATTAAGAGGAAGACATTCAGAGCATTTATTTCAATAAACAACCTTCCCAGATTTTTATTGGAAAGCCACTTTTCCAATGAAGCTGTCCGCCTGCCCAAACTTTATTCTAATGAACGGCCGTTTTACTTCCATGAGATTAAAATGCAGGAATCATCTCCTGAAAAAAAGTTAAAGTGTGACGTGCAGCGATTTATGACTGATATAAAATGCACATTAAGAGAACATATTACATTACCCTGTAAAAATGGCTTTTAGAGGCAATTGTAATGTATACAAATCAAGAGATGATTTATCCAGCTCCATAAAGCAGCTTTTACCTTTTTCCACTCGGGGGGGGGGGGCGGGGAACACCATTAGGCACAGAGGGCTTTCACTCACCATTACACGCAGTAAGAGATAAATAACTCCACAAGTATTCACAGACAAAAGGTCACAAAGTGAAGTAAATCTGTTCAGGTGGAAAATGTCAGGAGATAACAGTCTATGTCTGAAAATACAGTGTAAGGGTTAGGAATATAACTCTTTTTTTACCTAGCCACAGGCTGAGCTCGCAGGACTCTCAGCAGGCTGCCGCCGCAAAATAGGAGATAATATCAGACAAAGCTGCGATGTGATTGTTCTCATTTACAAGTCTTTGATGTGCCGTGGCTTTCAAATGTTGTTCCTTTTTTTTTTTTTTTTTTTTTTTTTACAAAATGAGTCTAAGTAAACAAGATGGTGTCATGGGAAAAGTGATTATTCATTAACTATGGGGGATAAGGTCAAGCTCAGACTACGTGTGTACAGAATGGGACAAATCTTCACGTCTCTATTTCAGAGTTAAAGTTTGTATAAAATTCGCCCAGTCAGCTTTGCGTGCTAGTTCAGCTCAGTTTGCATTTGAGAAAATCAGCTTGTCAACATTCTTTCCCATGTCAGAAGAAATTACAGTTCAATTTCATGAGTAAACTTTGCTTAGCTTAGCTTAGCATAGAGTGAAGAAGAAAAGAAAGCAGCTTCACTGGGTCGACCTTGTTTTTTTTTCTAAAGCTAAAGCTCTCTTGCCAACGTCATAAATGTGCAATAAATAGGCAAGCAAGGTCAACGAGACGACAAGACTCCAGGAAGTGACTGCACCAGGAAGTGGCTTTTTTATGTTTTTATTGTAGAGACAGTACAAAGGATAGAGTGTTGAATCAGAGAGAGTCGGGGATGACATGCAGGAAAGGAGCCAGAGGTCGGATTCGAACCCGGGGCGGCCGCTTCAAACTACAGCCTCCATACATGGGGCGCGTGAAGTAACCACTAGGCCATGGGCACCCCTAAAATGGTCTTTCTTTACATGCTGTTTTTTTCATTTACTGATTAAATAAGCACTGATGATGAAAAAAGACAATGTTGTTCTGAATTTCAGCACCACTGTGATTACATTTCCATCTGTGACCAAAACACAGCTGTGCTGATGTTCTGTAGAAAAGCACTCCCTCTCATGTTTTATTGATTAATTAGAAAGTCTCATCAGTAAAATTTCATTGATCACACATTTAATATCAACGTATGGAAAAAAGTATTGCGATACCAAACTGGGAAAGTCAGAAAAGAGAAGAAGTAGAGAAAGTGAGAGCTTGTAAGGAGGGGAGTGGGACACGTCTTCGCTCTAGTTGTCAGTCTTGGAGGCTGGATAACATCTTTAATATTTCATAACAAGGTTCTCCTGTACTGCAAACACTTCTACCAATAACAGGCAGAGAGAAATATGGCAAAGTACACCCCACACACACACACACACGACATCTTCAATCGAGACATGTCAAGGTGATCTAACACTCTTAGATTTCCTCCCCAAAAAAATCCATCCAACTCCAAATCCCAGTTTCCCCACTGTAATAGAAGGAAGTTGTGTTTGTGTAATGCTCGTCAACCCTGACATTAATATAAGAGAAAACTGATCAGAGAAGATTCCTGAACTCGTGGTTTGGACAGAAATAAAAGCAATGGGAACATGTTGAGAGAAAGTCCTGCATGAATGATGCAATCTTTTCTTTAAGTACTAAAGGTGTAAAAAAAAACACAACAACAACAAAAGAATGAACAGGTAGGTAAACAAATTATGATTTGGTTGTTCAGTATATTCTTATTTTTGCTTTAATTAGAGATTTACTTTGACTGTTTTAATAGATTTTGTAAATCATGTTGTTAGGACACAGAACTGGGACTATCTGTGCTGTAAACTTTGTGGTTTTTTACAGGCTAAATCTGATTCTTGAAATGGGCGACCTTGAGGGTTATCTCTTACATCTGTATCCGTGCAGTGGAAAGGGCTACACTGACATTTTGTATCTCTGTGCTGTAGGCAAGGAAATGGGAGCTCTAATATGACCTGAAATCTAATAAGGCAGCGACAACCTGTGGAGAGGAAAGCCTTCTCCAAAATAAACGATAATGGGATTTATTTGGCTGAAGAGATAATGAGAAGAAGTATCTATTTTCCACCTCTGCTTTTAAAAAGATCTTGTTGCTATAGTTTAATGACAGGGTATATCTGCCTGTCTGTCACCTAAAAGCCAAAGTGATTCAAATAAATCAGCTATAGAGCTCATATAACTCAAACCCTTTGGTGTTAAAAGACACAGAGGAGGCAGCTGACATGTTTTAAAGCTACAAGTCTGATGAATCTCAAGAAAACCGTGAGACTTAAACAGCATCCTATTGTTATCCTGCTGTGTGATGACCTGGTTCACAGCAGAGGACAGCTATTCATGA